GCTTTGAATCTGTTTCGCACAATTTCTTTTGATAAAGATTTGATGACAATGTTTAAATGTAATAATACAAGAAAGATTAAATGGCTTGGTTATGTGCTGCATTGAGAAGAATGTCTTGGATAATATTGATCTCGATACCGCATTAATGATTTTGCATCAAGAAATGCCTAAAGGAGTATTTTTTTTATGAGAAGCAAATGGATGTCTGTCATCTTTTGTTTTATCAAGTATTATTAATGAAGTCCCTGAAGCTTGATCCTTAGTCAAGAATTCAAGGTAACCATAGTAATTCCATTTTACTGCTCTTTTGGTATTTTTAGCAACATATATAGAGGATATTATCAATATTTATTTTCAGCATGATTAGCGGATGAATGCTTTAAAAGTATACTTTTAAAAATCCAAAGTGCATATGTGTATATATATAGAGAGAGAGTGTGTGTGTGTATGCCTAAGGGCCCATGTCATGGAGTTGGCCTAGGGCCCTAAAAAATGTAGAGCCGGCCTTGACATCAGTGAGGGGTTTGCATATAGACTTGTTTGTAGATGAATGCTATAGTGTAGCCAAGTTTGTAACTGCATATGCTCCATGTATTCCTGGTCTTACTAACATGCCACAACAGCCAGAGAGTACACATGGCTTCTTTCTTTATCCACCAATTTTAAAGAGGAGTGCAGGGAGACATAGGAATAGAAGGTGTAAGAGTGGAGCTGAAGGGAAAGACACTAGTAAAGGTAGGCCAGGTAGCCAAAAATGCCCTATTTGCCACAACTTTGGTCACAAATGGCAGGCATGTAAGGAGCTGATCTAGATGCTAAGGAAGCATATGCTCTTTTAGCAAAAACAAGGTATTTTTCTTCCTCTATTTGATTTTTCGCATTCATTACATTGCTATAAGAGACTTTTGTTATAATTGTTGCCAAATAAATCGATCTAGGCAAAAGAGGAAGAAAACAACACCATCAAATTCAAGTACATGTGCTGTTAATACATTACTCATTGGCACTTCAACTCCAACTCCAACTTTGGTTGGCCCACCAAGGTAACTACTATAACTTAAATCTGATCACATGGTACTCCTTTGCACTTCAATTTCCTAAATCTGATAACTAGTTTTTCATTTTGGTGCAGCAAAAAGAAGAGGACAGATGCACCAGATAGTTCTAGTTGTAATTTAATTACTTCTGCAAATGCAAATGCTACATCAGTGAGGTATACGTACTTCAAATGTTTTTTATCCATATTCCTTCTTGTGATTGTGTTGTGCCTATTCTAATATATGCATGAACTTCTTTCCTTGTAATTCAAGTGGCCCAAATAAAACACAAAGCCAATGTGCCCTTCTTTGTGTAACAGAAGCGAGCACACCACCACCAAAAGCAAAGGCCAAGGGGAAAAAGAATACTAACCCCATAACAGTACTACCAGATAGCCCATCTATGTCAACTAGAAGCAAGAAGAAATTGCCATCAACTAACCCATCCATGTCAAGTAGAAGCAAGAGGAAATTAATAGATTGATGTTACATGTTGTGGTTTCTATCTTGGGATATGTGCTTGTAACATCTGTGCCACTTAACTTATTTATTTAGCTCTTGTAAGATCGAACTTGGTTATGCCAAACTTGGACATTGGATTTTATGCACCTTTTTGTCAAATTGTGCTATGCACCTTTCATGGATGATTTTTGTTGCAAACCCCTCACTGATACTCTATTTTGTCCTATAATCTTGCTAATATGATGTGAGATCTCATATGATTTAGTTGTACACATTTTATATTGCACACGTGTTGTACATTATTCATACCTAAAATATGTGCTCATTATTATTCTTAATCATGGTGTATAAATAAAGATATTTTTCACATGTGTAGTCATATTGTACATTCTCTCTCAATTGTTATTGCTCTTAGTGCCCTACATGGCATGGTCTCAGTGCTACTGGTCTTCACATATCCTAAGGGCATATTTGTCCTTTCTTCAATGCAATTTTTTTTTTTGAAAGAAGTACTACCAGGCATTGGCCCAGTAGTGTATTTTATAGAAGCCAAAAAGGTATTTACAAGGAAAAAGAAAAATTACAAAAGGCTACAGCCCCCTATGGAAACTATAAAGTTTGTAACCAATCAGAAACCAATTGTCTAAGATCATCATTCATTCTACACATATGTAGAAGAATCTCATGCTTAAAACAATTCCACCAGCTGTCAAAAGAAGGATCTATATTCTGGAAAATCTTTCCATTCCTTTGCTTCCAAATGTGCCAACATGCAATGAAACAAATCTCCAAGAATCCTTTTCTCTGAAATCTCAATCTTGCTAGCACCAGCATCTGAAAGAATTCTAGAGAAGTGTTCCAAGTTATTCCTAGCTTCTGCCAACATTTTCTGCTAAAAGGGCATTGAAAGAATAGGTGAGACAAAGTTTCTCTATGATGCATAGGGCATAAGACACAAGTAAGATCAGCATTTAGGGGGGCGCATTTTCTCCTGTCCAACATGTCTCCCGTGTTCAGCCTATCAGAGAAAAGAAGCCATATGAAAACTTTTATCTTCATCACACATTTGGTCTTCCAGATCCATCGGAAAGGTATGGGGGGTTGCATGGCTGCAAAATTCAACTTGTACAAAGCTTTGGAGGTGTAATTGTTCCTGACCCATATAAAGCTCCAATTATCCCCTTGCTGACTTGCTAAGGACAGAGCATCCAGCTCTCCCTTTAGCTGCAGAAATTCTGTGTAAGCTTCCTGGGTTAGTGGCAACTTAAAGCAGTCCTCAAAAGGTTTAGCACAGGTGACAGCCAAAGATTCATTTCTGACAATTGCATGGCCACAGAGATGTGGGTAAGTGATGCTCCTAATTTGGTCATTCCACATGTCATCCCAAAACAAAACTGTGTTACCTGAGATAACCTCACACTTTGCAATTCCTCTGAAGTAATCTGAAAGATTGATAATGTCCCTCCACCAAAAAGAACCCTTGTTAAAAACTCTGTGAGGAACCTTGGTCTGATAATATGAATTCCAGATTAACTTTACCCAAGGGAGATCAGCCCCTTGATAAAATTTTGCCAAATGCTTGAGAAGGAGAGCGATGTTCTGCAAGGCTAGATTAATGACACCCATGCCTCCTTTTTCCTTCGGTCTACAGACTTTATGCTAGCCCGCTAAGGACTTTCTTTTCGAGCTAGGATCATTCCCTCTCCATAAGCAGTTTTTCATAGCCTTGTCAATTGCTTCAATTACAGTGACTGGTAGTTGAAGGGAGCACATGTAATATGTAAGGATAGCAAATAACACAGAGTTTACAAGGGTTAGTCTCCCTCCATAGGGCAGGAACATAGAGCTGGAGGTGAGCCTTCTCTCAATTCTGTCAACTAGAGGGGCAAAATCAATCACTCTAGGTCTTCAATGCAAATTAACGGTCTGTGGTCATGATGGTAAATTTAGAGGTTAAGGGAAAGGCGATGGTATATTATGGATGTCGACAAAGTCAGATTCATATTGTTGAATTGTGACGAACTCTGTGATACTGAGTAGATTCACTCTATTATCAAGGTAGGAGCAAATTCAGTGTTAAAAGAAAAAAATATCATAATATCACATATTTTCTATTAGGAGAAAATCCAAGAAATGTCATCGACGAGTGCAAGTTCCATAAAATACCATCATACAAGCAATTCAATCCCAGAAATACCATCATCATTAGGGTTTCGCCCATCTTGTGCCGATAAATGCATTGTTCATTCTATAGCACTCAATGAAGGACTGCTAATGGAACCCTAACAATAATGGCATTTTTGGAACAAAGTGGCATGTACGATGGCATTTCATGAAACTCTTACTTGTCAATTGTATTTTTTGGAATTGAGCGCTTGTCAAAGGCATACAATGTGTCGACGAGTGATACTCGTGGACCAGATGAGTTGAGTACTGGGGTACGTTAGAACGAGGGTCTACATAGCACGACATCAAGCAGACAAAAGACGAGGATTATACTGGTTCAGGCCCCTTGTCAGGTAATAGTCCTAGTCTAGTTCATATGAGATTGATGATGGGGAATCACAGATTACAAAGGAAGTAAACGAAACAAACGATATCGACGAGATCGTAGTCGATGAATTCGACGAGATCTCCCAACGACTTGGCTCCACGTACTCCGGCTTCGTGAACTATGGTGGGTGTGTAGGCGGTGAAATTCGATGCCCTGCACCCCTCCCTAGGGGTCCCTTTTATACCGTGGATCATCTTGACTCCTAAGTAAGGCTTGGAGATATTTGATCTGGTACGGTATAACAAAAACTCTATCCCTTCCGAGTAGGACTTTGGAAATCGTTCGACTCATAGAGATATTTTCTGTAATTTAGAAAGAATTCCAAATGGTGAATATGGAAATGATCCGTGTGCGTGAAGGTATACCTTATCGATGTATTCCATAAGTCGTAGGATATAAGGTATGTTTTATCCGTAACCCAGACACAATGATATTTCTTGAAATTTGGGCACTTGTCAATGTTATTTCTTAAATTTATGTTATATTACTCATCCAATTTCAAATGCAAGTAGTTGAAATTCTCAACTCTTTCTTAAATGCAAGTCATTTCTAAAGAATTTCTAATCACTTTTTCAACTATTTTTGTTTGTTTGCCATTGTTAAGTAATCCCTCTGTCCATATTATAAGGGATTTGGGTGGATGTTGACGGTCGTTACCGACAAATTTCGACCGTCAATATAACTAAAATAATAGAGAACTAGCTATGCTTACAATGCCTGCTTATTTCCAAATAATATATTTCCACTTGTACTTGGAGAATAACATGTTGCAGGAATTTATCAAATAAAATAAAGAGAGAGTGGAGAAAACCTCACTCCTAAGCAAGCAAATGGATAAGATGGACACACATGTCAGGTGCAACCATGAACCCACCTATCACAAAGCACACAGAAAGCGTTTACCCAGCTTGCCAACATCCACAAGAAGTCCACACAACTTGGCAGGATCAGGATGCCTGTACCAGGTCGCATCCAGGCAAAACAAATGCACAGCCGAAAGTGCGAGGATAACTGTTCTTCACAACTGTCACTGTTTGCTTTTTACAGTTTACAGAAAAGGTATGATTTGCAATTCAGAAGGGCCGGGATAATCTACAGGGTCACCCAGTACCAAATGAATCATCAATCATATGGTACAAATCTACTACAATGTTGTTGCAACCAAGCAACTAACGCAGCAATTTAACAACAATTAATATATAACTGATGGCCAATAAAGTGGCCATGTAGCTGGAGACTGCCAACCACCACAGAGCATCAGGAGATCTGTCAAACCGCTGACATATATCCACAAAGCAAACTAATGAGACACAATAGTTAACCAATGACCAGAGTACAGCAAAGGCTTGTTACTGCAAGGTTCTTCCGGTATATTTGTGAGCTTTTAGTTAGTAGAGTCAGCCTGGTTGAAGTATGAACATCGCTGCTTGCTAGGAGAAATAGAGTTACAGATGGAGCTGACCAGCACCAGTTCCTTTTGATATGCCATTTCTGTGATCAAGTAAAGCACCGGAGAACAAGAATGGGAATTTTAACTTGTATAAGAAGGTTTGACAAGCAAGATGGTGCCACAGTTTGGACTGGTGTTCATCACAAATCAATCCATCAACACGCCACTCAGAGCAGGTCACTCCAACTGAGAGAAGGTTGCATCATGGATTCATCAGTATAGCAATAGCATATCTGCACAAAGCAACAAATCATCTTTAAATGTCACGTATATTTAGCAAGTGGATATATCAGAATAGTATTAGCAGCATGAATTGACTACTTCAGATTTAAATCCAATAAGCATTACTGCTAAAATCTAGAATATCCCAATGGACAGTTGCCACACAGCCATTTCAAAACTAATAGCTATATGACCATCCAGATGAGGCACACATGAACAAAAGACAAAAAAGCTATCTGGACAAGCTTATCATATTCAAAAATAGGAGTTCACGAATGATGAAGAAACATTTCAGACACGCATGTTCGGTCACACAGTCCTTTTCAACTATTTCATTTGCACTTTTCCTAACTTTATTCACTAGATATTTAGAAGCTATACTCAACTTGAAGCCACCAACCAATCGATTTTTTTGAACAAATTTTCTCAATATATTTTTAACAAATTGTCGCCAATTATATGTCTCTCCATTTATGTAAGAACTTATTGATTAAATAAATCTAAGTTGACTAATTTAATGGCTCAGCAAGAATACAATAAGCCCTACCTTTTGAAACAGGGGAACAAAAGCCTGCTCCACAAAATTTGTTTCACTCAATCATCTTGCACACACTATATACCTCAAACATTATTAGTTCTCATTATTGCACCACACTCTGAATTTAAACACTGGATAGGTAAGATGTAGAGGATCCTTATACAGCACTGAGATGTTCATACCAAGATTTACACTTTAATAAAGTGAACAGTGAACATTGTAGCACAAAAGTCTATGCTCAGTAACCCCAAGGTACCAAGGTACAAAAGGATGTCCAGATTCAGTTTTCTGTTATCGGTATGGTTCGCTTGCAAACCCTTTCAAATAAAAAGGATGTTAAGCCATAGATTATGTCTCATATTAGAGTTCATTAAACATTAAAACCCAATGTCGCATGTCTTGCTTACCACATGGATTGGTTACTAGAACTACAAAATAAAAAGGTTCAGTTACCAGTATTAGTTTTATATAGGCATTTTTCATTGTGCATTTGTGCACTGTACATGGCTAGCAACACACAAGGAAAACCATAAATTCATAACATATGCCATATTATAGTTTGTGTTGACCTTCAATCCAAATCAAAAGGAAGCTCATTGCTAGCAATAGACGAGGAATTATCACAAATTGATACAATTTAGGATTCAACAATATCCATGACACAAAAGGAAAATCAAGTTCAATTTTAGAAAACAGGCTGTACGAGAATGTGACAGGTGGGGGAAAACGGCCTGGTGCATCTCCAATGTACAGGCAGGCAGATTTGGTTTTCCCCACCATACACACACACACACAAAAGTAGATGCTGGTGGTAGGAAGTAAAATATCATACATACACAACTTGAGTGTTGCACAAATTGATTACAATTATAGATGTGCCAGCTTATTGCTGAGAAGTTGAAAATGCAACAAGTACATGCATTACCTTTCAGAAGGAAATGATTAAATGCTATTTATATCAAGCAGGCTTTTACTAGCCATAGGGTTCTCTACAAAAAGAATTAGTAACTCAACAATTATTGTTCTCAGTTGCCATAGAATTTAACTGCAATCAAAATTTTCAGAAACATAACTGTAAAAATCAATCAGAACAGAATCTCAAAAGTCAAAAAGTTCACCTTTTTCAAAGGTGATAAACTATGCCAGAGGATACTAGTAGATTTTATTATAACTATGCCAGAGGATACTAGTAGATTTTATTATGTGTTGCCCAAGATATATAAACAGGAACTTGCAAAATCCATCCCTGGAATCTGCAGCAACATGGTGGGACAGAAAATTTGACCAACCACAGATGGCACTATCAATCCAATGCTTTGATTCATTTGCCAACACGCTGACCCTTATCCCTATAGAGGATATTCCACCCTTTTGCTGTCTATTATTATCCAGTTTATTCCAATCACCACAGTATGATAGATACATATAGTGCTACTCTACAGAAAGAGTTATCTAGTGGTTCATGTACGCAAGGATACTCTTCGTAAGTATTTTGTTGGCAAAGTTGGTAGCAATAAGGAAGATGTGAGCAATGATAGTAACATAATCTAAAGGATCCATTGCATTCTTATTAGAGTCCTACCATATTCATCAAAGGAATACCCGCTTGTTTGTGTATTGAAGAAGTGAACTTGTTTGAGAAATTACTTGGAATTTGTCCTTTTATTGAAGATTAATTAATAAGTGAAAAAAATAAAGTGAGATGCCTTGAAGTACGTAAAACTGTATTGTATGGACCGTGGTCATTCTAACCTTAGGAATATGTTGCATAAAAAAGATATGTGGATATTTCATCTACTACAGTTTATAGAAGCTAACTAACTTCTCAATTTGCATTCCACAAGTAAATATAATGAGCACCATTTCTCTATACATTTAAATACCCGCTTATTAGAAATAAAATATAGTATCATTGTGGGTAAAAATAAAACCGAAGACCGGACCCAACTGCCAGTTTTTTGGGTTTTCAGTTTTGCATTTGGTTCTCATTTAAGTTAACTAAGGTTTTCGGCAATGAGTGTTTTGCAACAGGAAGCGCAAGTGAAACATTTCTACCTTGGGAAACCAAACCTACCAAAAAAACAAAGCACAACTATTAACCCAATAGCCCAGTAATCTGTGAACTCCACCCAAGGCCTAAGGCCCACATTTTCCTCATCTTCCTATCCCTAACCCTATCCCCATTGTCACTCCAACACACATTGCTCTGAGCAAGTCGTGAGGCAAAACAACATGGCACAAAAGGCAATGTAGCAGCCCAACATAGCCATCGGTGGAGCATAGTCACACACTTGTGTTGGAGGCCATCAGTCAAAAGATGTATGAGGCTGCAGGTTAAGCGATGTGGAGTAGGAGACCGGCCGACCTAGCTGTGTGAGCAATGTGGCTGGCTGGAAGCACAGAGAGCAGGAGGCCTACAAAGAAGCGAGCAGGACCAAGTGCCATTGGTGGGGCAGCAGAGCAGAGGCATGACGGAGGAGCGAATAGAGTGAGCGAGTGGCAGGTCGGTAGTGGCAAAGGTCGCCCCGGTGAGTCAGAGTTATCAAGGAGCTATTTGTAAAAACAAAAAAGAAAAAGAAACCCAAAAAATCAAAAGGTACAAACAAAAATAAATTGAATGCCCATCCCCATCAAAGATCCAATATTTTTCAAGGGAAATTTGGCATGTACTCCCTCCATCCAAAAGTCTAAGACCTATTTCTTTTGTCACCAAGACCAAGGAGTAATTAACTGATCCACCATGTGACAAAACAATAAACCATACACATGCATGCAACCAATAAGTACTAAGATAGCTTCTTGGGTTCCCGTCAACAATTTAATTTAGCACATAGAGACTACAAATAGGCCTTAAACTTTTGGAAAAATCAACAAATGAAATAGGTCTGACTTTTGGATGGAGGGAGTAACACAAACATGGCAAAATAAATGCAGCCAAGGAAGGTCTGAAGTAAGGGTGGGTATAGAACATACCATCACATGAATAAACAGTACACAATAAACACGTGCAATCTCACTTGTGCTTGATACATAGAGGGTACAAGAAACGTGTTACGTATTGGGGTATACGTATATTGTGCTGTGATTGTTCGCAGGAAGAAATCCCAAACCTCTTCTGGTTGAAACAGCATGTGAGGAAATAGACAAAGATAAAGAAGTTCCTCTTTTTAAAAGAGTAATATGTTCCCCTTTTTCCTAAATCTCAAGTCTCAACGGATGCTATATCTCCTACCCAATAGGTGAGGCATACATAATAAATTAAAAACAAATTAACTGAAGAGAGAATGAAATCTATATTTAAGAATAACTCGATGGCCAATTTATTAGTTTGATGTTGTAGTGCAGTTAATGCTGCCTAGTACATGGGACCATTATGGGTGCCATAGCATTTTTGGATTTGTTACAGATAGCACAAAAATCAACAAAAAGAACAACTGAAATGTGCAACTACCAAAATAATGAAATTATGAGATAGAGAGAATCTATGCAGAATAAATACAAGAGAAACTGCAAGGGTTTACTTACACAACTAGGAAGGTAGCCGCGCCTATGCGCGGGCATTTATATTGTTGAAGGGTAACATTATAGTTTGTTCAACAATTGTCTCGTATATAGTCGGAGAATGTCCTTTTAAAATATATCGAGGGTTCTTTTGTTTTAGCATATCTCAAAAACCATTCATTGACTTTTCAATAGAAGATAGTAAGCTCATACAACTTTTGTATCAAGTAAATATTAAACTACCACTAGCTAATTATCAAGCATACAATTTGTACATGGGCTGTGTAAAATATGGCTAGAAGCAAAAATTATGAGATCAAGGAACTCAAAGTTTTTGTGATTGAATCGCCCCGTGAAGGCACATAACAAACAAATCAAGGGTAGATTAAAAGTTAGATTTTTTTTTTCTCTATATAAGTTCAACAATATTTTCTCTATAGTTTTAAAGAACATTGAAGGGTTTTGGTGCACACAAACACCTACATAATTGCTTGGCTTGGTAGTGCAAAATGTAACATTGTTTGAAGCTAATTTCTTTCTTCTTTTGCATGTTCGATTGTTTTCTTTGAAACAATATTTGTTTGAAATAAGACCATAATTATATAGATTTAAGTAGTATGTATAGTTTACTTATAAATTTTGAAGTTTTTTAAGTAAAGTTTATTTCTATTATATAATACGGTTAACAATATAGTTTTGTCATGTAAATTATAATCAATAAGTTCGCTATAATTTATATCACAAAAATTAATGAAACTTTGTAAAACCAACCATGACTACTTAACAAAAGAAATGGACAAATATTTTCATTAATAAAATAATCTAAAATAATGGGTACATAATATAATATAATGGTGTAAACTTTATTTTCAAGTATTGTAGAGCTAATTCATTTATGTATACTTGTAAAAGAGTTATATGCTGATATATTATTCTATGTTTGTAAAGTAACTTTTATTTAAAATTTATTATCACTAATAATAGTAATAATAATTGTCTCAACTATATACATTGAAAAGAAAAAAAGTTACGTACTAACGTACGTACATATATATACCATGGAAGGAGAGGTGGAACAGTATAGTCACTTTTCGTGTTTGGATTTATTTAAAGATCCACTGATTTAAGTGAAAATCAAGGGATAGATGTTTTGCTTTTTTTTTCTCAGATTTTCTACGATTTTCTTTACTTCCTCCGTTTCACAATGTAAGACTTTCTAGCATTGCCCACATTCATATAGATGTTAATAAATCTATACACATATGTGGCTAGATTCATTAACATCTATATGAATATGAGTAATGCTAGAAAGTCTTACATTGTGAAACGGAGGAAGTAGTTTATTAGAGCACCATATGGCGGCTTGAGAGCGTTTTGAGGAAGTTTAATGACCTTTTAGTATATAATAGATAGATAGATTGCATGTGCGTATCAGCAATCCTTCTAATTTAGGATATTAGTGCGGTGGTGGTAGCCTACAAGGAATCCAGTTAATCAGAACTAGCAGTGGAAGGTAGATTCGCAATTTTTGAACTGTATACAGTGGATGCTATTTTTCTAACCAAAGCTTTAAGGAAAAGCATAACAGAATGTGACTACCACATATATTCAACACATAAACCATCCATGTAGCATTCTCTGTTATCTCGTGATGTGATAACTTTGTACTTTTAAATACAAAATGTGCATATTACAAAAAAAAGGATATTCTTGTGTAGTTATGTGGTTTTCAGTTATACACTCAAATTAATAGAGATGCACGTAATGGCTATGAAGTAAATCTGCCAGGAACAGTTAAGTGAAAAAACAAACAAACCTCAAGATCTTGGCAAATGCTGCTCCAACATGAATTTGAAAAGTCCCTAGTTTAGCCAGTCCAAAATTCACCATGCAGCTCTGTGGGTACTGCAAACATACAGGAACGTTAAAGCTGAGTAAGTTCATGTGGATTATCCATTGCTTCCCTTAGTATCAACTCTGCCCTCTGCTCCTTATCCTCCTTGAAGAACCAGGGATCCTTCAGTTCAACCAGAGCTCTCGAATTCAGTGCCATCACCATTGACTTCTTATCAATCCCAATTCTAAAATACACCGGTGGCCTCTCTTTTGGAACAACCCTCTTCTGAGTCTGACTATCATTTTGGCCCTGATCCATACCCTCATCAAATTCTCCACCTTTTGATTCTTCAAATGCGGGTGCGAAGGCCTCAACAACAGAGAATGTCTTCCCCACACCAGGCATGGTAACCTCGGACACCGCCTTCTCCCCATAAGGCAAAGCTCGCTCATGAAACGGATTCGCCTTGCTCTCAACCACATCTAGTCCGTTCGCTTTGACTGCATCATCGACCAGCATTCCTGGTCGGAACCCGTCGGCACCTGCAAGAGCAAGACGCCGTTGCAGGCTGAGCAGCGACTTCTCAGCTTTCCTCCGCTGCCGCGCCCGCTCCACCTCATCCGCCCCAGCCTTAGCCACCTCCTCACTCCACAACTCGCTCCTCACATACGTGTGAGGTTCCGGAAAGGCCGGGAGCCATTCCGGGACATGGCTCATCCCGCTCTCCCTACCCAAGACCGCAAAGCTCGTCGTCGAGTGCAGCGGCACACGCTGTACCGGAAACCTCGGCAATGGCCGGCCCGCGAACGGGGATTCCTTGGACGCGCCAACAAACACGGCCATATCCTTGACGACGGCGGAGTTGGCGAGGCAACGGGCAGAAACCGAGGCGGCCCCCGCGAAGCCATAGTAGGCCGCGCCGCACTCCTCGAGGAACTGTATGACGTCGCACTCGTTTGCGGCGGCGCGGCCGGCGAGGTTGGCGTGGAACGTGGCGGCACGGCCGAGCTGGCAGATGTACCGCAGGAGGACGTCGACGAGCGCGTCCACCGCCGAGCGGTGCGCGCAGACGAAGCCAGCCGCCTCCAGCATCCGCGCCACCGCCGCCCTCGCCACCGCCCTCCCGAAGTCCCCTCCTCCACCCGCTGCTGCCGCCGCTGCTCCTCCCCCTCCTCCTCCTCCTCCTCCTCCTGCTCCTCCGCCACCACCGCCGCCTACCCTGCCGGCCCGGCCACCACCCCCGCCGCCTCTGCTGCTCATGCTCGCCTTCGCGCTCGGCCGCGCCCCAATCATACCGGCGGCACCTCTATCCCACCGCCGCGAACCCAGGCCGCGCCGCCATCGAGGGGGGGAGTGGCAGCGCCAAAATTGCGGGGGAATTCGAGCACCGGTGGTCGAAATCGGGATGGAAATCTAGGGTTTAGGGGTTGACCGTTGGGGAATCGGGCACGCGGAGGCGGCGGAGCTCGGAATTCGGAGAGAAATCCAAACCCCAAGCTGGCGAAATGGGGAGAGGGAGACGACTTGAGTTGACTACACTAGCGAGAGAGCGAGGAGGACACAAGCAGCAGCGGAGAGAGAGAGAGAGGCGTGTCGGCTGAATGCGGAATGCCTCAACACAGGAAGATTTCGGCCATCTTCCGACGGCGGGGAATGAACGGCCAGGATTTTCCATTCTCGATTCAGGAGCTTTGTCACTCGATGGGTGGATTATCGGGTGCTTCTATGGTCTATACAAAACAAAGTCAACATGGAAGGCATCCACAATGGTTATTTATAGGCTCTCTACAAGAGATCCATGTCAGCATATTTTTCTACTTGGAAGGTATTAAATGAAGAGAGAGAGCAAAGCTATCTACTAACTTATAGATAGTCTATAGAGAAAAACGAGGCAATGCATGAGAGAGCTATAGATACCAATGTAGACATACTATTGAAGTGGTTTACTATTAATCGAGTCTATTGCTGAGATGTACATGTTTTATAGAGAGCACCTTAGAGCACCCGAACCATTCGTCTATTGCTGAGATGTACATGTTTTATAGAGAGCACCTTAGAGCACCTGAACCATTGCGGATGGTTCGGGTGCTCTAAGGTGCTCTCTATAAAACATGTACATCTCAGCAATAGACTCGATTAATAGTAAACCACCTCAATAGTATGTCTACATTGGTATCTATAGCTCTCTCATGCATTGCCTCGTTTTTCTCTATAGACTATCTATAAGTTAGTAGATAGCTTTGCTCTCTCTCTTCATTTAATACCTTCCAAGTAGGAAAATATGCTGACATAGATCTCTTGTAGAGAGCCTATAGATAACCATTGTGGGTGCCCTAAGGGCAGCCCCAACCCTCCATCTAGGATGGTGTCTATAGCATTAACTACATTGCCATGTAGGACTTTTAGCTTATATGGCACTATATTAATTCAGAGAGTAAGTGAAGAGAGGAAGAAACTGGGTCTCATGCAAGACACAGCCTCAACACGAGAACCTATGCACTAGACACTATCAAATTTTGTATTGGGAGAGAATAGTATCTTCATAATAGATGAAGAATAAATATGATTGGTAGAGAAGAGAGATGATGTATTTATTAGTGGCCTAGTTTAAGAAACCATGGGTTGTAGAGTGTAGTTTCTATTGTGATGTCTTATTGACATGATATCATAGACACTGCTTATGGACACTATGGGTTGGGACTGCCCTAATAGGGTAGGCGGACACTCAAAGGTTAAATTGGTTTTATTTAGAGAAGAGTAAAGTGTGTTGGCGGTCCTTAAACTTGTAGGGTTGTGTCGTATATGTCTCTAAACTCTCAAAATGGATATCCAGGTCTCAGAACTTGTCAAAGTGTATCATCTTGGCCCCAAATTGATACATCCCCTCTAGGATCCTACGTGGCGCTGATGTGGCAATGCCACATGGACGTGACGTGTCCTTTTCTTTTTTTTCTTTTTTTCCTTTTCTTTTCCGTTTTCTTCTCATTCTTCTTTTTTTTCCTTTCTTCAGAGAAAGGAGAAGAAATGGGAAAAAGGAGAAGAAAAAAGGAAAAAAGGAAAAAAATTAAATGGGTCCTATTTGTCAGTCAAAATAATGTCACGTCATGTCCGTGTGGCATGCCACATCAGCGCTACGTAAGATCCTGTAGGGGTTGTGGCGATTTGGGACCTAGATGACACACTATGACAAGTTCTAGGATTTGGATATGTATTTTGAGAGTTTAGGGACCTAAATGACACACCCTTACAAGTTTAAGGACCGCCAGTACACTTTACTCTTTAGAGAAACAATACAAATGTATGCGCTCATAATATACACGGATACATCCCTATGCACACTCTACTCTTATAAGTATATCCGAAAAGCTCACACGCATGCACATTTATAAGTATATTCGAAAAGCTCAGCCAGTATATTTGGAGATTAATAAAAGCATCTTAAACGTCTCAATGTTAACATTAACTTTCATGAACTGCCGGTTGTAGTTTCGTGAAAACTGATGGTTTTTAACTAGTTTTTACTAAGTTGGCTTCTCGGTTTGTATCCTTGGTGGATAAACCGATGGGTTTTCAATTTCAAAATGAGAAGGGAAACCCGCTTTCAATTTCCACGTGTCGTCCAATCCATAATGATCCGGTGTTTTTATAGTTATTTTTGGAATGTTCCTTTGGCCAATTTTGTTTTACTGTCGTGAGGACACATTTACAATTTAAAGAACATAATCATAATTATTATGGATAATTTATTACACCCTCCGTCCCAAAATAAGTTCATTTATATGTTTATGTGTGCAATGTTTGACCGTATGTCTTATTTGCTCTTTTTATGAATTACTAGTATTTTTGTTGTTATTAGATGATAAGATATAAATAGTACTTTATGCATGACTTGTTTTTTAAAAATTTTCAGATAAGACGAACGGTCAAAAGTTAGATATAGAAACCTACCAATAAACTTATTTTTGGGATGGTGGTTGTACTTCTGAAGGTGTACTTTACGCTTAGGTTTTGTTCGCCTTTGTTCAGCACCATGTTTAAGCTGAGATGTTTTGCAGCGAAGGGGAAAAGTCACATGATTAGGAAAAAATATGAATTACCCCTCTGAACTATCGAGGTTGATTGTATTCCCCACTCCCCCAACTTAAATATCAGATATTTTACACCCTCAACTATGCAAACCGGATAAATAACCCCTCTGATTCATACCGGAGTGGTTTTGGCCCTACGTGGCAATTCAATCAGCAGTTTTTTAAAAGTTGCCCATATGTCATACTCCCCCTCTCTCTCTTTCCTTAATCCCCATCCTCTATCTTCTTCCTTTCCTCACCTCCCTCTCCACCTCTCTTTCACCAAACCGAGCAGGGAGGACCGAGCTGACGACAATGCACAGCAACCGGCGGCAGGAGGGGCTCGAGCCCGTGTGGGCTTAGGCGCAAGCAGCGATAGAGGTAGCAAGTGACTCGCGTCTCACAGCCGACAAAAGGCACACGCGAGGGACGACAGACAACAGCTAGCAAAAGTTGGGGCGGCGGCGTTTCCGGCGAGGGGTCGGTGATGGGTGGTGCTTTGTAGTGCGACAAGCGACGATGGCGCGTGGCTCGAGCGACATCGATGCCCGGGAGGCCAGCAGCAGGGCAAGCTCAGCTTGCCTCATTTGAGGAGGCATTGCCACCGTAGGTGTTACCCCTCTCCACGTCGCCTTGCTCCAGCCTTGCGTTCGGGGCGCCACCTTCACATCGAGCCCCGCCTTCCCCAGCCGGTCGCCGTCCCTATTCCCACCCTCAAGTCCGGCCGCCTCCCTCATGCCCCACCCACCTCCTTTAGCCGGCTGCTGCCACCATTCACATCCGCTAGAGAGCAACAGAGAGGGTGGGGGGAGGGGAGAGGATACTGGCGAGAGGGAGAGAGAAGAAAGGAAATGACAGGTGGGCCCTATAATTTATTATTATTATTATTATTATTATTATTATTATTATTATTATTATTATTATTATTATTGCTGACTATGGCAATTGACACCACGTGTGCAAGCTCTTGGTCAAAATCGCCCAAAACAGTCCTAGAAGGGTAATTCGTCCGCTTTAGAAAGTTCAGAGGAGGGGGTAATTCGTACTTTTTCCTTATGATTAATTAATTACTACATTACTATTAAAAGTTGAAATTAGTTTTATTTGATATTTAAAGATACATTTATGTAATTTTAAAAAAGTATCGTTTAGCAGTCCAGGAAGCGTTCTCACTAGAAATAAGAAAATAGCTAACCCTGTCAACTTAAATACAGTAGAACACAACGTTTGACGAAGTATTTATAGTCACGGGTGGTATAACCATACAAGTGTTTTTAGGTAGAGTGTGGTCAGCATTCCGAGGTTTATTATCATTGTATGAGCAAATACTATAAGACCTTTAATTACTTGTCCTACATTGTCATATATGCTTATATGTATGATGAGGTAGATGAGAGAAGAGAAGAGAGATAAAGAGAGAGGAGAAGATACCTCTCATGCAAGAAACAAACTTATCCCTCCCGCACGGAAAACGGAGCGGTCCATTAGCGTATGATTAATTAAGTATTAGCTAATTTTTTTAAAAAAAATAGATTAATTTGATTTTTTTAATCAACTTTCGTATATAAACTTTTTGCAAAAAAACGTATCGTTTAATAGTTTGAAAAGCGTGCGCGCGGAAAACGAGGGAGATGGGTTGGGAACACGAGGATGCAAACACAGCCTTAACACAAACTTGAAGAGAAATAAGAGAAAAGGAAAGAGTTGATTGATCAAACAAATAAAATAAAATCATTAGAATCAATGCAAGTGTATCCATTGAAAAGGGAAGAGTAAATTTGAGCAAACAAATAAAATGAAACAAGAATTTTAAAACTGTTTTTTTCCCTGTTAACTGCCTCCATTAAAATTATTGTAATGCTAGTGTTGGACGTCTTATGAGTCTTCCTGATTTCTCATTTTCTATGTGGTGAAGTTGTTGAAAACATGTTAAATGACGCTACTTGACAAACATATTCTGGTGGGGGTGGTAGATCGCCAGGCACATTCCTTTGTTGTATCAATATTTGTTAAATACATTTAAGTAAGCAATTCGCTTTACCAAAAGCAGAACATGACTCCATGGCCCAATGGATAAGGCGCTGGTCTACGGAACCAGAGATTCTGGGTTCGATCCCCAGTGGAGTCGCCCATGTAAGTTTCGATATTTACTTTTTACCTTTCTTTTTTTTTATAAAATTGGAAATTTTTGATAAACCAAAAGTTGATTATTCTCCCATTATAAATATAGATTATCTTTTACCATTTTGTGTTTTAATTTTTACCTTTCTTTTTTTTTGTATAAAATTGGAAATTTTTGGATAAATCAAAAGTTGATTATTCTCCCATTATAAACATAGATTATCTTTTACTTTTTTGTGTAAAATAGGAAAATCAAAAGCTGATTATTCTCCAATTATAAACCTAGATTATATTTTACTTTTTTGTGTAAAATTGGAAACTTTTGGATAAATCAAAAGTTGATTATTCTCCAATTATAAACCTAGATTTATATTTTACTCTTTTTTTTTGTAAAATTGGAAACTTTTGGATAAATCAAAAGTTGATTATTCTCCAATTATAAACCTAGATTATTTGGTCATATTCTGCGCGCGGTGCGGTGGGGTGCTATACCGGCTGATGTAAGATGTCTACCGGTAAAAAGATAATTCCGTGCACACATATCTCTGAACAATTTTCTCCATCCTCTAAATTTTGCCTCATTTTCTATGTGTCTTTGCGTTTTGCTTCGAGCTCCTCTATGCCCATTCTAGTTCACCGTTAGATTTTTCTAAAAAGATTACATTGCCCTTTCTCATAGTTACGATCTACCAACTTCATAAATCTCAATGTGCAAAATTTTAATCTACGATAAAATCAAGTTGTGGAAAATTATTTGATGCAAAATTTTTAAAACAAAATTTAATTTTTGAACAATTTTTTTTATTAAATCCATACCTCGTTTCATTTGGAATTGAGAATCAAAATATTTATTTGATTTAAATTTTAGTGAAATTGTTGTATGAATTTCATCAAATTTGATTTGAAATTTATTTTTTAAAAAATCAAACTTCATCTTTCAAATGTGTGGTCAAATAATTTTATCCCCTTTGTTTTTAGAATGATTCTTTTTTTCACATGAGAATTGTGTTTTTATCACCAAGCTAACACAAAAGTATGAAGCGGCGTATCTAGGATTTTTATACGGGTAGTCCAACCTATATATATTTTTTAAAATACCCTAAATATAATGAAGTTAGAAGTACAATTTTATCGAATGTGCATCATAAAATATGAATAAGGATTTTTTTCCTTTTTCCAAAATTTTTTTTTCACATATGTATATATGCATGGGGCTACGATTTTTTGGTGGCTACGAAACAACCCCTGGATTTGACTAGTATGAGAAAGGGGCAATTAGTCCCTTTTGAAATATAATTCCATCATTCTGCATGCATACTTCCGCATGCTGCCTTAGGCCCCTTTCTTTAATGTTTTAAAACATAGGAAATTCAAAGTATTGCAATTCCGATAGGAAAATTTTCTAGAAAAGCTTTGTTTCAATTGAATTATATATTTTCCTTTGAAATTTCAATGAAGATTTCGGAGAAAAGTTAGTAAGAGCTCTAACCTCTTATAATTTTTCCTTTGAGTCTATTTCTCCTATCTCAATCCTGTGTTTTTTATGTGGTCTATTCAAATCATCATTCCCATATTCTCCATGTTTTACAATCCTATGTTTTATATTTATATTTTTATATAAAAGTTCTATTTTTTTTATTTGTCTTTTTTTTCAGTACAGATCCCTTAGAATATGCATCCATCACTTTTTTTTTTCTCAAACCGGACGCCTGAGTCTAGGCATTTTCCAAAGGAAAAATGTTCACTTTTCGTACCTCGAATATAGGTTGAGTTTCAATCGCGAAACTCAACCTACATAACCAGGTACAACACATTAGTTATCTTCTAAAAACAGTGCAAATAGTCCCAAAATATTAAGTATGGTTTTGGCTAACATGACGTTCACGTGACAGCCCGGTCACAATAAATTAAAAATAGACATGGGCCCACATGTAAGTGATAAGGGGGAAAATAAAAAAAAATATAAGACCCACATGTCAGCTCCGACTTCTCCTCTCTCTCTTTCTTTTCTCTTCTTTCCCATCCACAACTAAAGTTCATGTGAGGGAGGCAGAGGTGGGCGAGGGTGAGGGAAGAGGAGGCGGCCGATGAGACGAAGGGTTACCTCATCGACGGCCGGTGGTGGCGAGGAGGGGAAAGGTAGTGGCACGGGTAGCTAGGGTGGAAGCCGCGGGCTGTGAGGGCTAGATCTACGCGATGAGAATGCAGTGGAGAGAGGAAGAAAAGTCCGCAGTGGCGTAGAAGGAGACGGGAGCATGCAAGGAGGCAGGATCTCAAAACAGTAATGACGATAACACTCTAGCTGTGTCCGCGTCCTCCCCTCTCCCTATCCTCAGTCCTCTCCTCCCCCGGACAGTGAGCAATGACGGACATCGAGCTCCTCCTCCGACACATGCTCTAGTCGCTCACGGTAACAGTAGCGGCGGGAGGACCTCCACATTGCCCCCCAAGGACGTCCGCATCGACCGAACTCCTCCCTCTTTGTCCACATCTTCCTCCCCACCGCATCGTCGCACTCGCACAATCTCATCCTCGGCCCCATGGCACGGTAGCAAGCCCCTGCCAGCCACTAGCGCCCTCCTAAGAGGCTCCTTCATGCCATCTCGAAGCGCGCCGTGGTCTCCATGTGGCGAAAGCTACCCATTACCATCCAGTTCCTGAGTTCCATGGTAGGGGTTCGTTTCTGGGAGCCCTGTTTAGCCGGGAGTTCCTGTTCCGCGCGTACGCGCTAGGAACGGAGGCGGCGCGCACTTTCCTGGCGTCCCTAATAGTGTCGTTCTTTTTTTTTAATGAAAATTCGCCACCGTATGTTTCTTTCTTTTGTTTAGTTGACTGAAACAAACTTTCAACTCAGATTTATCCAGGATGTGGAAACTTTTCAACTAAGATTTGAACACTCTCAAGTCTAGATTTGAACACAGATCTAAAATTTTTCAAGTCAAGATTTGAATACTTTCAACTTAAAATTAAAAATTTTCAACTCAGATTTTGAAACTTTCAAATCTTGATTTAAAAATTTTCATGTCAGATTTGAAAACTTTCAACTCATATTTAAAAACATTCAACTCAAATTTGAAAATTTTCATCCAAAACTTAAAAACTTTCATCGCAAATCTTAAAAACTTTCAACTATTTAAGTCCAGATTTGAAAACTTTCAACTAAAATTTAAAAACTTTCATCTCAGATTAAAAAACGTTCAACTCAAATTTGAAAACTTTCATCTCAAAACTGAAAAACTTTCAACTCGAATTTAAAACTAGCAGAAATTAAAGATGAAAGATTCAATTTCCAAAATAAAAAAAACACGGAAAAAAATCGGCAAAAAATATTTCAGGGCCTCCCCGGCTCCCCACGGTGGAAAAAAGAAGAGAGAAAAAGGGAAAAAAAAAGGAAGAGAAGAGCTACTTGAGGGCGTGGGCCGTGTGGGCTAGAAACACGCGCCAGATACGCTAATAGCGCGTACGCCTAATTAGCCATTAACAGCCACATCAGCTAAAACATGGCAAAATACTGCCTTAAAACCTCGATTACGTAGATGCTTTTTTTTTTCGGTTTAAGGACGCGATTGAAATTCAACTCCAATACGAGAGACCTAAAGCGAACCTTTTCCTTTTCCAAATCCTATATATTTCTTTTGTCAGCCCATCAAGGAGCTTCTATCCGAATCCAAATTTAAGTTAAACGGAGCCCAACCCAAGGCAGCTAGTTGGGCGGCCCAGGAGGAGATAAAACGTATTGCCGCATCGTCTCTCCGCAAAGCCGAGAGAACTCGCGGCGGAACAGAGGAGGAGAGAGAGCGAAAGTGCGAAACCCTAAAGGCCTAAACCCTATACTTGGAGGTCTCTCGGCGCGAGCGATCTGCTCTCCGATCTGAGATGGCGTCGGCGGTGTTGGAGATGCTCAAGAACCTGTGGGAGTCGCAGGTCACCGACGAGGAGAACCGCGCGTTCAACTATGTCCGTCCACCCTCTCCCCTCTCCCCTCTCCCTGTCATAAACTTTTTTTTTTACCTCTTCCTCGTTGTCGTCCAAGGCGTAATTGTTTGTGTGGGTAGCTGCTGCGTGGTAGTATTTGTTATTCGAGGCTGCGATTTTCTTTTAAAAAAGAAGGGAAGTAATTTTGCTGTTCTTGGAATTTGGTCGTGCGCGCGGGGGAGATCATCACGGGGTCAAAGCACTTGGAATTTACTACTTGTTTAGCCTTTAGATTGGGTAAATTATTAATTTTCTTGGATCGCTGGTGGTCAATGTGCGATTGATTAGGTGTAAAAGAGCAGTGGTTTCAATGATCCAATCTAGGCTCGATTTGCTCAATCCTTCTAATTGTACGACTAAGATTTCAGGGGATTTAGTTATTTCCACTAGTTTAGGGTTGGCACCTATTTAGAGGTGGCAGGTTCCGAAATGATCAACATACTTTTATCTGTCTTCGGCTCCACATCTACTGGGAGTCTGGAAGTTCAGTGCTAAATCGATAAGAAGCAAGTTGAAAGCAAATCTAATCTATTTTGAAACATTCAGCAAACACTATATAACTCTCTTTGTCACTATGAAATTTTCAGTTATTTTTGTAGCATCTACTAATGTAAAAAAAAAATGTTGTGCTTAAAACGGGTGCAATGTACGTAATCCTAGTTACCAAATCACCTGGGGGGGTAATCCACCCTGCGTGGTATCAAGATCCTTCTGTTGGCTGTTGTACGCTACCTTCCAATGCAGTTTTTGAGCCGGGCCAGTTGCCTGCAAGGTTACTATTTTTCTTATACATATATTTTGTCCTGTGGTTCACTTTGACGAATGATGGACATATGTTTTGAGTTTATTTTTTACCGCAATATAAAATTTTGCCATTTTTAAGCTGGGCTGCTTGCCTGTAAGATAGTTTTTTTTTTTCTTTTGATATTTTATCTCTGTGGTTCACTATTGACAAATGATGACCATGTGTTGCTCTACATGCCTTGCATTTTATTTTTCATTGCAGTATAAAATTTTGACAGAAACTGTCTTCTGTCTATGTATTTCTGAATGTTGGTTGTCAGTTGTAAAGTTTTTAAAAAGATACAATTATTTGGTGATTTCTCTTGTATCCGTCTAACTAATTTAAATTGGAGCTAGAATAGACCAAACATGCGTGAGTGATGAGTCTGGATTCTGGAAGCAAAATCATCCAACTAAACAGGAGATTTTAGGGGGGGATCAAACATGAATATTTTTTTGTTACGTCAATCATGGTCCTTTTTTTTCCTGGTATTATTCGCAAGTGTTTTGTGGTGATTAATGCTTGCTGCTTTTGATTTCCAGAGGATACTAAAGGCTGTAGGTCTTTTTGCTGGATCCATCGCCGTGATGCATAACTTTGGTGAACTGATGAACATATAAGGCTGTTCTGGGTGGTTGAGCAGGGTTCCATCTTCCATGGCATCATTATAAGATGTCCGCCTTATCATCAGGCTTGTCGAATTTTTTGTTTACTTAGATTGTTTTTAGCTTTTTATGGTTCAAGCACTTATTGACATTCACAACAGGAGTATTTTTCTGTTGGATAGTCAGTGTCAAATTTAGCTGCAATACCACTGAAATATAGTACTATCATGGAACTTTGGTAGACCTGTCCTATCAGAATTCATTCATCTACTTCTGAATATTGCTGTTCTGTTATTCTGAGTAATGATGCCTACTGAAATTAGGCCACGTTTATTGGTGATTGACAGCAGATCTGACGATTTTCAGATAAAGGGAGCTGGCCTCGTTTAAATCATGCATTTTTGCCCTTTCCTATGCAAGTCCAGCTGTTGGATGAGAACATAAGTAAGATCTGTTGGTTGTGTATAGATAATTGCATATTGGCCAGCATTCCTTTGACGTCACTGTTCCAATGGATCCCATCGGAATATGCTACAGTTTTCCGTATTGCATCGATTGAATCATGCGGCAAGAAAATGGCGAATGACTTTTTTTTTTTCATTGTCTCTTTCAATGAGTAGTTGGCATATGACTTAAGATACTTCCTCCGTTTCACAATGTAAGACTTTCTAACAGTACTTCCATTCATTTAGATGTTAATGAATCTAGACATATGTACTGTGTTTAGATTCATTAACATCTATATGTATGTGGGTAATGCTAGAAAGTCTTACATTTTAAAACGGATGGAGTAACAGATAGCAGATTGAAGCAGGCAAGGCGCAAGGGAGCTCCAATTATGATCCCTTCTATGACACTAGTTATTTGTGGCGTAATTTCGGCACTTGATAATCGATTACGCGTCATGTTCATACTTCATCCCTGCTATACAAAAATCCAGTCCAGCAAACTTACACGCAAAAGCAAACTTATACAAACACAGTACTAAGGAATATACTGCATCATCTTTCAGAACAATGTTCCTACAAAATTTCATATATATTGTTTTGTCATAATGATGAATTGCAAAGCTAATCCGATGACTTAGACCACACAAAAGTTTTTCCCTGGATATTGTACATTAGCTTAGGATTATCTTCCATTCTTTCTAGTGCACTGTCTCAGTCAGGCATTATTGCTGGTCCAGCCTCATCACTCTTAAACACTTCAACTACAGGGAGGGGGTCCCTCAAGAAGACTTGACCCAATGCAAGTGGAATTCTAGGACTCGAATCACACGGCCGGGATTTAAATTTCGGCGTTGATCATTGACCGCTGGAAAACTTGACAAAAATGAAAACCGCGTCTCAACTTTCTTCAGAAGCTGACATAAGTTTGGGGACACATAGTCCTCGGTGAAATGGATGGTGATGGCCCAGCTTTGGTCAAGAACTATGCCAATTGTAACAGCATTTCATTACTTACCCCGTTCTATACTTCAACTTTCTCGTTTTCCGTCAGCACGCTTTCCAAACTACTAAACGGTGTATTTTTTGAAAAAAGTTTCTATATAAAAATTGTTTTAAAAAATCAAATAAATCCATTTTTAAAGTTTAGAGCAGTTAATCTTTAATTAATCATGTGCTAATAAGCTTTCTAGTTTTGCTGGAAATATTTGCAAGTTGCAAATTTACCATCTTCCATCAGCTTCGTTCCTCATCAGTAAAATATGAGAGAAGCTCATGCTATGTGCAGCTGACTGAATAGGATATACATATACTCTCCTTTCTTTTATTTTCTAGACTCTTAACTGGTGCAGAGTGTGCACAGAGGAAGAATAGAACTGCAACTTACAAAAGAACATGTCAACTCCAAGGAATATTCGCAGGCAGGGTGCTTCTGCTTAAAAGCTCATCAGCCATAAGCTCTTCAAGAGAGCTAGGGAGGAGAGAGAAAGAAGGAAAGGCTCCTCTTTTGAGAAGACGAGGTTTTAGCTCAGACTATTGCAGGAGGAAGAGGAAGGAGAGAGAAGCATGGCTGCCTTCTGTAAGACCAAAATCCTTCTCTTCTCCTCAGCTACAGTTGCATTTCTTTCCTCTTCATATTGACAATAGTTTACCTCTGTTTATTCAAAAAGGAAAAAAATGCACCTCCTGTGTGCTTCACATCTTCCTTTCCTGTCCCATGCTGTGGTTCCAATGCTCCTCTTGGCAGCATCTTTTTACATGAACCTCGATGTATGTTTATGAAATACTAGGTATCTGAATCTGTAGCTCTCATGGAGTAATTCATATATTTTCTTCAAGTTAGCACTGAAGCATTTCTACCTTATATATGTTCTTCAGTTCATATGATACTGATGGTAATGCATCTTTCTCGTGGAATGATAACTATCAAAGGAATTGGCTTCTTCACTTCTCTATTTCCTTGATCAAGAATGAAACTTCCAACTTTTCAGCGTACTTGAACAATTCAAGTCTAGTACTGTTAATTGAGTGTTGTCTTGACAGGGCTCATCTCTATCATTGTCCTTGTACTACTTTCTGGAGAATCCAATGCCAATCCAGCTGCCTCTCAGCAGAGTCAGCTGGATGTAAACCACAGGAAGCCACTTCAAACTTTCAGACCTTACAACATTGCCCACAGGGGTTCCAATGGTGAAATACCCGAAGAGACCACGGCTGCCTACCTGGTAAATAAGAATCTATTTCTCAGTACCTACTTTGTATCCAAATTTGAGTGACCACTTCCAAAATAAAATTACAATAAATTTGTATCCGCAAAAACAAAAGGTTAACGAAATGACAAGTGACAAGAAGTACAGGCATGGGCATATTTTAGTGACATGTGAAACTTGATTGCATTAACGTTGTTAACTAACAATATCCAAGACAAGCCATGATATAAATTTATTTAAAAATTCTATCTTGGAGATCATGTGCATAATATTATTTTGCTGAGAGATTCTCTGAAGATTGTTAATGCAAACTCAAAGATATGCATTGGTTGTATTGCAGAGGGCTATTGAAGAAGGTGCAGACTTCATAGAGTCTGACATACTTGCAACAAAGGACGGACATCTGATATGTTTCCACGATGTTATATTGGACGCAACAACTGATATCGCCAATCGTACAGAATTTGCCAACAGGAAGAGAACCTATGAAGTTGAGAGACAAAATGTGACCGGCTGGTTTGTTGGTATGAGGACACAGTTTTTCTTTGTTGCTATTTGCAGCATTTGTTTCTGTTATTTAATTTTGCGGGTAACTTTTGAACTTGTTTGCTCCCAGTGGATTTTACTCTTGAAGAACTCAAGTCACTGAGGGTGAAACAACGCTACAATTTCAGGGACCAACAGTACAATGGTATGAATTGATTTATCTTCCTGTCTTCAATTTATTGCATTCTTCTGCCTTAGGTAGTTGTGTATTCTGTAGCATGTAATGCTCAGTCTAATCTTTGTTAATTGTTCTATGTTTCATCTGTGCTTAAAATATGGTTGCCAATAATGCTTTCACACTTGATCACAGGGAAGTACCAGATTATTACATTTGATGAGTACATCTTGATTGCGCTTTATGCCGATAGGGTTGTTGGGATATACCCAGAGCTCAAGAATCCCATTTTCATCAACGAGCACGTAAGTGACTTAATAGAAACTTGTACATTTTGTTGGTCCACTCAAAGAAGAGGTGCAAAATTGGAAATAAGAAGAACATGCTTCTTGTTTGCTTGGAGACTTTGTCAGATTTAGGTACTTTGATATTTTTTCTGTGGCTACTGTTTGTTTTATTATCATAGATTTCTAGTATGTCATGTTTTGTTTGGCTTGCTGTTACAGTTGTGTGTACCATGCTCCGGTAGTAACTTGTCCCACATATCATATTCTTATATATTATAAAGGAAAACAATCTCTCCATCAACGAAATATGCCCAAAAACTACTTCTGGCACTCTATATCATGAAAAGAACCGGCTCGAGTCACTCTAGGAGCCTGGTCCATTTGGAAAGAGCGCAATGACCGAGTGTGCAACCAACGACAGCAGAACTGGGTCGACGTTGCAAAGACAATGGCGGAAGAAGCAGCTCTTTGGCAGTTTGCGAAGGCTGTGGTTCCGCAGCTACTTATGTAGCCGGCGGCAGTCCTAGATCGCCCCATTTGTTGCAAGAATAGAACTAGCGCAACCAGTCCCTTCACTTCCCTTCCTTGCTTCTGTTTTCTATTTTCCATTCAGCTGTAAATGGTAAATTTTACTTCTCTTACTACAAAGATACACAAGTCTTTTACGTATTCCCCCCCAAAAAAAAAACGGCTCGACATGTTATTTTCTGGAATTTGCACCTCCATGGTTCCTTCTTGTTTCGCAAACCCCTTGCTGCAATGACGATTGAGGCCTTGAGGGATGCTTTGAAGATTGACCTGTAAATATTTACGCATTCTTGAATAATCTCATTTGCAGGTCAAATGGTCAGACGGGAAGAAGTTTGAGGACAAGTTTGTCCAGACACTGCTGAAATATGGTTACAAAGGCGAATACATGTCTGAAGATTGGCTTAAACAGCCATTGTTCATTCAATCCTTCGCACCATCGTCACTCATTTACATGTCAAATATGACAAACTCTCCAAAAATATTCCTAATCGACGATACCACAGTTAGAACTCAAGACACTAATCAGGTATTCTCAGTACATTTTCCTCTTTCCTCTCATGTAAAGTTTAATTATCGATGCCCCTCTAAAAATCAATTTTCATTATGCAGTCATACTACGAGATAACTTCGGACGCTTACCTTGCGTTCATAAGGAAGTACATAGTTGGCATTGGACCATGGAAAGATACAATTGTTCCTCCCATAAATAATTACCTAGGTCCCCCAACCGATCTTGTCGCGCGAGCACACGCTCTGAATCTTCAGGTTAGTGATCTTTCATGAGAACACTACACTTTTTTTTCTCTGATTGCACAATTACTGAAACATTTCATCAGATGATCTTAGATGACAGTACAATCATAAACCATGACTCATTTGATATGATTTGCAGGTGCATCCATACACTTTCAGAAACGAGAACATGTTCTTGCACTTCGACTTCCACCAAGACCCTTATCTTGAGTACGAGTATTGGCTCGGTGAGATTGGCGTCGACGGGCTTTTCACTGATTTCACTGGTACCTTGCACAGGTTCCAGGAATGCACAACTCCGTATCCAAAGAATGAAAAGAATGCAGAGGCACTCTTGCAGAAAATTAACTACATGCTGAAGGATAGCGGATACTAAGCTTGCATGACAACTCACTGTACTGTTACTTTTCAGATTTGTTTCATTATTGTCACCACTGAAAAAGGCACCACCCTTGCAGTTTCTACAATTGTTAAAATAAAGCAGCTTGTAGAATAAAAGTAAATTGAAATGTGTTTTCACAATATCATGTCTGTAAACCTTATTCCTAACTCCAGAAAGGGGCAAGATAGCTAAAACCGAAAATACTTGAACTCGGTCGCCCGGCGCGGGGGGAGCAGGATCGGGCGGAGCCCCCGCGCGTCCCTCTCCCCATGTGCGCACCTGTGGGCCCACCCACTTCTCTCTCTATTTTTTCACAAAAGATGTTTCACCTAGTGTATTTACAATGTTTCACTATTTATAGATCTAATGTTGCAGTGAATTAAAATACTCTTTTGCAACAAAAAAACCCATATATTTTGGAAACTCTCTATTAAGGGAATTTGGTTTATTTTTTGTTCCACCAAAAATGTTTCACCTAGTGTACTCATAATGTTTCACTATGTATAGATCTAATGTTGCAGCGAACGAAACATTCCATTGCAACAAAAAAACCCACATATTTTGGGAACACCCTATTAAGGGAATTTGGTTTATTTTTTGTTCCACCGAAAAATGTTTCACCTAGTGTACTCACAATGTTTCACTATGTATAGATCTAATGTTGCAGTGGACTGAAACATTCTTTCGCTATTTGCTGAAACATTTTTTATATAAGGTGAAACAACACCCGATTTAAACGAGTGAAACATTTTCGATCTACTCAGTGAAACAATCCCGATATACCTGGTGGAACATCGTGCAACATTTAATAAATAATTCAATAATAAGCTAAATTTTTTTCATCGGAATATATCCATGTGTGGTCTTGTTTTGAAGATTTAATTGCAACGAATTTAATGGTGCAATCAGATCATGATTTGGATAAGTAATTTAAGAGAAAAATCAGTTTAAAGTAATTTTGCACGTAAATCGGGTGTTGACGTCATGCTGACGTCAGCGCCCAATTTTACCCCCTCCCGATCGGGCGCCCAACCGGGAGTCGTCTCCATCTAAAACATACGAAAGGACCGGGGAAATTGTGGCATTTTAAGAGGAAGGAAGGATCACTAGAAGTGTATATTTTGCACAAGAAATGAATTCATTGATTTGATCGGCATAAGCAATGATTTTATTCATGGGAGTGGCTAATACACACATGCACACATGGGGCTAAGTTGCATGCGCAACACATTAAATGCCGGTTTTCCTGTCATCAAGACCATTAATGACTTTCTATAATAAAATAATAAAAATAATTGGTTTGAAAGTTTTAAATGTTCAGTTGAAAGATTCAAAACATGTGTTGAAAATTTAGAAATTTGAGTTGAAAGCTTCAAAATTTGGGTAGAACTTTTCAATTTTCAGTACAAAGTTTTAAATTTTGAGTTGAAAAGTTTTAAAGTTCTAGTTGAGAATTTCAATTTTTGAGATGAAAGTCAAATTTGCAGTAGATTTTTAAAAATTTGAGTTGAACTTTCTGAGTCTCTATTACAAAATTTTACTCAAGTATTCAGAAACTTTTCATAAAACTACCAACTTTCTTTTGAAGAACATCAAATCTATTAAAGATAATGAAAAGGCAAATTCATAACTTAATTGATTAGTCTATCCACTCTAAGCAGAATTACTATTTAGCACAACTGCGTTCCCAACGCATACATTTTCTTATAAAATTCCCATATAGAAGTTCTCACGTGAAAGTTTTTCGATGAAAGTTCTCAAATAAAAATTTTCCAAATAAAAGTTTTTCAGATGAAAATTTTTAGAAAAAAAAATGCAGTGCAAATGTAGCTGTGGAAATAGCAATCCCCAACTCTTAGTAGCCATGATAGCCCAGACTCATGGACGTGCTCTAGGTATATGATTGCCTAGTGCATATGGGACTGCTTGTGGCTGATGAGGCAATTTACACTACACTGGCGTGGCGAGTTCCTTGTCTCACCACGTCGGTGCAGCAGTGATACCTTAGCTAAGGGTGTGCCCCCATGAGGCTCCTCAGCTCCTATGCAAGGCACGAAGCCTTGTTAGGATGTGTTAGAGATTAGTCCACCGAGACAAGCTACGGTTGCTCGTGCATTGGGAGGTTGTGCCCCCTGCTGCCCTGCATGTGACCAGAAATTAAAGCGTGAGGGAAGGGAGAAGAACAGTGGTCTATGTGAGGAGAGGTTCTGAGGACTATGCCACCGCCACCACCGGTGACGACCACCACCACAACAGGAAAGATAGACTAGACTTAGAGGTGGAAGAGATGGGCTTGTCGCCGCTAGACCACCTAAGGTGGTCGACGAGCTCGCGGATATGCTTGGACTACATGGAGACAAGTCGCTTCTTGCCACCAACCTTAGCCGTTCTTCTGCTTGAAATTGAAGATGATGGCCGACAACACCAGATCAACAGCTAGCATCGCTAGATCAAGACGCCGTTGGCGAATCGAGAGCTGGCATCACCATGTTGCCGTCAATCCCGCCAGCCAGATTTGCAATGCCCATCGTCCTCTCTCTCCCTACCAACATCGCCACTCTGAGTGAGGAGGATGCCACGACTCCTGCGGTTCCACCTGTGTCTTTAGGCAATGAGGGGGACAGGGTGGTGGCTACAAAGGAGGAAGCGACGGTCGCGGCGATGAGCTCTTTAGTTTGTGGAAATGATACCTATACTAAATTTTCTTGAGTAAATTTCAGAAAACCCAATGTATTATGATCAAAGTTATAAAAAACCATAGGTATTATTATGACTTGTGACACATAACCCCAAGTATTATGGTTTTAAAGTTTTGTAAAACCTCCATTCTTGTGCATGTTGAGCACGATTTTACTTAAAATTTTTAATTATTAAGTTCTTAACTAAGGTTGATAGTTCAACTTTTTGATACTTTGAAAAAAAATGTTTCAAATATGCTGAAGTTAATCAATATTTCAATAAAGGTAGGGTTTTATGAAACATATAGGCTACAAAGCCTGTGGTCATGTGCCACATGTCATAATGCGTGTGGTTTTATGCAACTTTGACTATAAACACATTAAGGTTCTCTGAAATTTACTCATTTTTTTACAAACACTTTACAAACAATTATGTGTCACATTATTATTAAATCTTGATCTTTATAACTTCAATTGACTCGATCAACGTTGAGATTTTTGTAAGTAAGAAGTTTATATGGAATTTTAGTACGTGTTCCTCATCTTGACATTGAGTTTGAATCGTGTCTTTAAACCGCAATACCAGATATAATGTGTCTCTCAACTTGTAATACCCAAGTACCAGAGGTCCCAAGGTAGTATTGTGCTTAGTTTTCGGTTGACGTGGCGTGTTTACTATGGTCAACCCGAATGAATTAGTGTGGGACCCATGTGGGCCCCACATGATAGGTCCCTCTTTTCCCCATATCTCTCCAGATCTCCGGGGAGGTGGCTGATAGGGAGGAGCGGTGAGCGAGGTGTTGCCTTGCACGTGTGCTTTGGCGTTGGCGGTGTTGAGCAACCCCCCTGTCGCCACTCCCCTTGTCTCCCTCGCTGCCGTCGTTGAGCCACTGCAGCATCGGGGGTGCGAAGTCGTTGGGAAGGCTGACATACATGGGCAGGAGGCATATGTACTCGAGGAAAAGGCGGTGGCGCGGTGGGCGCGAGGAGCAGCTTTCGGATGCGTGGGATGGACACGTGCAACTAGGAGGCAATGACATCAGCCTCAAGGCGTAGTGCTGACGTGGCGTGCAGGGTGAGGAGGGCATGGAGGACGTAGTGAACGGGGTGGAGGAATAGGTGATACGTATGTAGGTGGTGTAGAAGGAAGTAGCCGACATCGAGGGACGCGAGGTGGGAGAACAGCATGGACACAACCTCGCCTCCACTGCTGGCGAGTGCGGTGAGGGTGGCCTTGTAGAAGAGGAGGGAGTGGAGGGTGATAAAGCGGCACACCCACTTATGCACCTCCCTGATGCCATTGAAGGCGTGGTCCCGCACACGCTGCTACTTTTCTATGGGAGGGAGGTGGACTTGGATGCATATATCGCTGTTGTGGCCGCTGCTTGCTAAGGTGGGAGCGGCGGTCGGAGCAATGATGCAGTAGAGCATCTGTGGTTTGGGGGAGGTTTTTGGGGGTGGTGGTGTTGATCGGTGGTAGAGAGAGGGTGTGATGGAGGAAGATAGGGCCCTGATAGGTGATCTTTATATGGGTCCCACACTTACTCGGTCGGGTTGATCACAGTTAGCTCGCCACGTCAGCCGAAGCCAAGTACAATACTACCTTGGGATATCGGATACTCCATTATTAGGGACACGTTATATCTTAACGTAATTCAAACTCGATGTCAAGAGAAGGAACCTAAACAAAACTTGTTCCAAGAAATTTTTAGCAACCCTGTACTAGCCTTCCTCAAAACGGGACTGGGCCAACAATCGTGGCATTCCACATCGGTTTTGGCCCGTCCTGAATTCCTTGATCATCGCAAACAAACGGGCTCACGGTCCACGGCTCAGTTGGGAGCCCTCGCAGCCACGCGTGGCGCTCAGCTCAGGTCCCTCCAATTCTCCAAATCCATCGGCCTCGGCGCTCTCCGCTCTCGCCGTCGGCCCTCGGCCGTCGCCAACCCCCACGCCGCCCTTCCCGATTGTCCTCCGCCTCTCTCCTCCTCCTCCTCGCATCGCCGCCTGTTGAGGAAGGCGAAGCTATCGGCGTGGGGGGTGGGATTTGGATGAGCGAGCCAGGAACTTCGACCACCTGGTGGCTCTCTCTCTGCGGGCGGCGGCGAGACGCCTACTGCCATGTCGGCGTCGTCGCTGGCGTCTTCCTCCTACCGCCGCAGGATCGTCCAGTCCAGGGACGCGGTTTCCAGCCCGGCGTACTGGTCCCGCCTCCCCGCCCGCGCGAGGCCGCCCGCGCACACCAGGATCGGCGCCGGCGTGCTGCCCGCCGCCACCTCAGGTACATATATATGTATCCGCGGAGAAGGCTTTCGTTTCCATCGAAAACAAATCCGTGTTTGAACGACGCATTTTGCGTCTGTGGCGACTAATTTGGTTGTTCTGCTTATGGCTGTGTCTAGTTCGTTTGCTGCACTCAAGCTGTTTGCTGAAATGCTTGCTTGGAGTCATGCTCATGACTTATGTTTCTGTGTCATGCCATCGTGATACTTTCTTGACGCACATTCCTTTTGTACCAAACCTGGCAAACTCATGCCGTTAGTTTTTATAAAGCATGCTAAAGTCGCTGTTGATGCTCACGAAACATTTAGTTTCAGTCTTGTGCTAATGCATAAATCCTTTTCACTGGAAAACCTTTGAGGTGTAGCTAAATGCAGCTTTCCATTTTTGTCAACAGAACAATTGGTAATTGGCACCACTTCCTTAACATAACGTTGTCTGATCAGTGTAGCTTTTGCATTTTCTTTCTGTGGAACATGTGAATATGAAGTAGTAAAGGGGAAAAGATGGCATAAAAAGAAGTGAGAATTTGTTGCTGGTAGAAAATTTTGCTAGTAGCCAAATTTAAACTTCTAATGGTAATGCGTATGTGGAGCTGTATTGTATAAGTGATGACACTTTCCAGTGTCTCATTTTACTGATCTCCTGTTGGAAAAGCAAGGTATATTGCATAAATGACTGATTTGACTTGTTCTGTTTTATTCCACATCTTCTATGCAGATTTACTTTACTTGACTTCTGTTCTCATGCCGCAATTACTAGCTTAATTGGAATAGCCTACTGTAGTTTTGCCTCTTAGGGTGGCATCAATTTCTGGTTCCCTTGATTTGGTTTTTCCTTTTCAGTTCATGGAGTTGAGAGCAGCATCATCACTGTCCTAGCTATGCAGCGATGGGAAACCTTGAGTCAAATGGCATACAAATCTGGGAAGCTTGACAAGGCACATGGAAAGCTGGCCTTGAGGATGCTGGACTCTATCGTTCAACAATCAGGTTTGGACCGAATTACCCATATTTATTGCATGGCTGTCCACATCCTTGTCCAAGCTCAAATGCCATCACAAGCGATGTCAGTGTTGAGGCACCTTGCCCTGACAGGCTTTTCCTGTAGTGCCATATTTAGCTCCCTTTTGCGGACCATTTCACGTTGTGATCCCACCAACCTCTTTTCTGTTGATCTTCTTGTCAATGCTTATGTGAAGGAAGGAAAAGTACTTGATGCGGCTGCAGCAATTTTCTTTATGGATGAATGTGGATTTAAGGCTTCATTATTTTCGTGCAATAACATCCTTAATGCTCTCGTGGGAATAAACAAGTCAGAATATGTTTGGTTGTTTTTGAAAGAAAGTCTGGACCGGAAGTTCCCTCTAGATGTTACCACTTGCAACATTGTGCTGAATTCTTTGTGCACTCAGGGAAAACTTAGTAAGGCTGAAAGTATGCTACAAAAGATGAAGAATTGTCGCTTACCTAATGCTGTTACTTATAATACTATACTTAACTGGTATGTTAAGAAGGGAAGGTGTAAGTCTGCCCTGCGTATTCTAGATGATATGGAGAAGAATGGCATAGAGGCAGATCTGTATACTTATAACATCATGATAGATAAATTATGTAAACTAAAGAGGAGTGCACGTGCATACCTTTTGCTAAAAAGAATGAGGGAAGTTAACTTAACACCTGATGAATGTTCTTATAATACTTTGATCCATGGATTTTTTGGTGAAGGTAAGATAAATCTTGCTATCTATATCTTCAATCAAATGCTGAGACAAAGTTTGAAACCAAGTGTAGCTACTTACACAGCATTGATTGATGGGTACTGCCGAAATGGGAGAACAGATGAAGCCCGCAGAGTTCTTTATGAAATGCAGATCACTGGTGTGAGACCAAGTGAGCTTACTTATAGTGCGTTGTTGAATGGTTACTGCAAACATTCCAAGCTGGGACCTGCATTAGATCTTATCAAATATCTGAGATCGAGAAGCATATCCATCAATAGAACTATGTATACTATTCTCATTGATGGTTTCTGTCAACTAGGGGAGGTTTCTAAGGCTAAACAAATTTTAAAGTGCATGCTTGCGGATGGAATTGATCCAGATGTTATTACTTATTCAGCATTGATCAATGGTATGTGCAAGATGGGTATGATACATGAGACAAAAGAGATTTTATCAAGGATGCAAAAAAGTGGAGTTCTGCCTAATAATGTACTATATACAACTCTAGTTTTTTATTTTTGCAAGGCTGGGCATGCCAAAGAAGCACTAAAGTATTTTGTGGATATTTATCGAAGTGGTCTAGTTGCCAACTCAGTCATTCATAATGCATTACTATGTTCTTTTTATAGAGAGGGAATGATTGCAGAGGCTGAGCAATTCAAACAATACATGTCTAGGATGAAGATATCATTTGATGTTGCTTCCTTTAACTGCATAATAGACAGTTACTGCCAGAGAGGTAATGTACTTGAGGCATTTTCAGTTTATGATAATATGGTTAGACATGGATGGCCTCCAGATATTTGCACTTATGGGAGTTTGCTCAGAGGATTATGTCAGGGAGGCCACTTGGTACAAGCAAAAGAGTTTATGGTCTATCTTCTTGAGAAAGCTTGTGCAATTGATGAGAAAACCTTGAATACACTACTTGTAGGGATCTGCAAACATGGAACCCTAGATGAAGCTCTGGATTTATGTGAGAAAATGGTCACAAGGAACATTTTACCTGATACTTATACCTACACCATTCTTCTGGATGGGTTTTGCAAAAGAGGTAAGGTTGTGCCTGCACTCATCTTGTTGCAGATGATGTTAGAGAAAGGACTGGTTCCTGATACCATTGCATATACCTGTTTGTTGAATGGCCTAGTAAATGAAGGTCAAGTGAAGGCTGCTTCTTACATGTTCCAGGAGATTATATGCAAGGAAGGCTTGTATGCAGATTGTATTGCGTACAATTCAATGATGAATGGATATCTAAAGGGAGGACAGATAAATGAAATAGAAAGACTGATGCGTAACATGCATGAGAATGAGGTATATCCAAGCTCTGCTAGCTATAACATCCTAATGCATGGGTACATCAAGAAGGGACAATTGTCAAGAACTTTATATCTATACAGGGATATGGTGAAAGAAGGGATCAAACCAGATAATGTGACATACCGCTTACTCATCTTTGGACTTTGTGAGTACGGATTGATTGAGATTGCAGTTAAATTCTTGGAGAAGATGGTCTTAGAAGGAGTTTTTCCTGATAATTTAGCTTTTGATATACTCATAAAGGCTTTCAGTGAGAAATCTAAGATGTCTAATGCTTTACAACTTTTCAGCTATATGAAGTGGTTACATATGTCACCCAGTAGTAAAACATATGTTGCCATGGTAAATGGATTAATCAGAAAAAATTGGTTGCAACAGAGTTATGAAATTTTACATGACATGGTAGAAAGCGGGCTTCAACCAAAGCATACACATTATATTGCATTGATCAATGCAAAATGCAGGGTTGGAGACATTGATGGAGCATTTGAGCTAAAAGAGGACATGAAAGCTCTTGGTGTTGTGCCATCTGAAGTTGCTGAAAGTTCAATTGTTAGAGGCCTTTGTAAATGTGGAAAGGTTGAAGAGGCCATCATAGTTTTCAGTAGCATAATGCGTGCAGGCATGGTGCCAACTATTGCTACATTTACTACCCTAATGCATGGTCTTTGTAAAGAATTCAAGATTGATGATGCTTTCCACTTAAAGCAGTTGATGGAGTCATGTGGGCTGAAGGTTGATGTTGTCACTTATAATGTATTAATTACTGGTTTATGCAACAAGAAGTGTATTTGTGATGCATTAGATCTTTATGAAGAGATGAAATCGAAGGGACTTCTGCCGAACATTACAACGTACATCACACTGACTGGAGCTATGTATGCAACAGGGACAATGCAGGATGGGGAGAAACTTCTGAAGGATATAGAAGATAGGGGCATTGTTCCTTCATATAAGCATCCTGAAAGTCTTGAATGGAGGATGGAAAATGCAATAAAAAGGTTAAACACAATAAGGAATTGCAGAAAAGGAATATCTTTCAAGAATGAAGTTGAGCTATTGCCGGTAGATCATGAAGCTGCTAATTGAATATATTTTCATAATAAATTTGTCTTTGATTGAAACTGTTACGTAGTATTATTTTTTTTCTATAAACTTAGTCAAACTTAAAGAAGTTTAACTTTGATCAAATTCAAAACATCTTATAATCTGAAACGGAGGTAGTAGTTTATTTTCTGAATTCTGTAACTAAACTTTTTAGAATCAATGGTTGAGATGAAAAACTGAACTTTTTTTTTGAGGGAAAAAAAACTGAACTTGGAGGTAGAGGTGATCCAAACCATAAGACAGAATCAACGGCTGAGATGAATGGCTCAAGTTTCCCTTGGTAAATTCAGAGACGGTAAACCAAGTCAAGTGAGACTGACAAGAGCAAAGTAGCCCCAAACCGATCCCCATCTCCTCCCCTCGCATCCACCAACAAAACACACATGGCCGACGCCGCCGCGGCCACCGTCCCCGGCGAGGCCTCCTCCTCCTCCTCCGCCGCCGCCACCACCACCGTGCTCGATTCCCTCGGGGAGGACATCACCCGCATCGTCACCCCCGTCTCCACCTGCATGCTCCTCGTCGTCCTCCTCGTCTCCCTCCTCTCCTCCCCCTCCTCCCCTTCCCCCTTCACCGCCGCCTTCTCCGCCGCCGCCGGCCCAGGCGGAGGAGGAGACGACATCACCACCGCCCTCATCACCGCCGTGACCTTCGTCGTGGCCGTCACGGCCGCCACCTTCCTCCTCGCGTTCCTCTTCTACCTCCGCTGCACGCCCTGCCTCCGCGCCTACCTCGGCTTCTCCTCGCTCTCCGTCCTCCTCCTCCTCGGCGGCCACGTCGCCCTCCTCCTCCTCTCCCGCCTCCGCCTCCCGCTCGACGCCGCCTCCTTCGCGCTGCTCCTCCCCAACGCCGCCGCCGCGCTGGCGCTCGCCGCGCTCTCCCCGGCCTCCGTCCCCATCGCGCTCCACCAGGCCGCGCTCGTCGCCATCGCCGTCCTCACCGCCTTCTGGTTCACGCTGCTCCCGGAGTGGACCACCTGGGCGCTGCTCGTCGCCATGGCGGTCTACGACCTCGCCGCCGTGCTGCTGCCCGGTGGCCCTCTCAGACTGCTCCTTGAGTTGGCCATAGAGAGGAACGAGGAGATCCCGGCGTTGGTCTACGAGGCAAGGCCGGTGGATCCCCGCCATGGCCACAATTGGCGGCTGTGGAGGGAGAGGACGCAATCTGGTGCAGAGTTGGATGCCAATTCCACAGTTGAGGTGCTTGGTGAGGTGTTGGGGACAAATCTTGGTGCCAGTTCAGCTGGCAATTTGGGGGTTTCCGCAATCCGATCCGATGAACGGGTTGGCTTGGCTGGTGATGCAAGAAACTTGAGGCTTGGAACATCGATGCCGAATTTGAGCTCTGATTCTGCTAGTGCACAAGTTGAGGTGTTGCCAGCATCGCCGGAGATTAGTGTGTCTGTTCCTGAAATGAGAGTACCATTGATCCAGCCGCGACCAGAGAGAACCAGGGATGAGGAGGATGACGAAGATGGCATAGGGTTGAGTTCATCTGGGGCTATCAAGCTTGGATTGGGGGACTTCATATTCTACAGCGTTCTCGTCGGGAGGGCAGCAATGTATGACTACATGACAGTGTATGCATGTTATCTTGCCATAATTGCTGGGCTCGGTATCACCCTGCTGCTACTAGCATTCTACCGTAAGGCATTGCCGGCCCTCCCGGTCTCGATCGCCCTTGGTGTTGTGTTTTATGTGCTCACAAGAACATTGCTCGAGACTTTTGTCATGCAGTGCTCTACTAATCTTGTGATGTTTTAGCATTTATTGAAAATCAGATATTCAAATATTGCTGTAACCCAAAAATCCAGACGTTTTCAGCTTGGTTTCAGTCTTTGATATTACTGCAATTTTTACCTGGTTGTCCACTGAAACGTAAGCTATGAGTATCAAACTGTTTACCTGTCAATATTAAATACAAATATTGTTGCTTATGTAATGTGTTATTGTAGTCTGCCATCCTGATAAGATCGTGTAAATACTCCATAACGCAAAAGATCCTGCATGATTTAGATTCTTGATCAGGAACATGGTAATCTGTAATTCATCTGCAATTGAGCCATTTTTTCAGAAGTACACGCCAACACTACCATGATTTGCCCTCCCTCAGTTTTCTCAATTGCTACCCAGTTCAGCATTACATTGGATAACCCCAGACAATGCCTAGCATACACTGAATATTTTTCTTTCACCTTGATCACTATACTTTCATGGGTAATTTATCTCATTTTATTCTCTTTATTTTTCCATCTTTCGTTCTTTCAGTTTTGATGTTCAGTTAAAAATTTGGATTAAGTTTCATTTTCTAGTTTTCTTTAGTGAGAGTGTCTATATTGTTTGGTTATTTTGTAATTGTCTCCGGTCTTTGATGTTGGTAGGAATGGAGGAAAGCTTCATGGTCTTCCATACTTAACTGTAGCACAAGAAGATAGTTCACAATTTCTTTTATGAAGTATGTCAATGAAAATCTGGACATTGTCCTTTTTCACAGTATTCTGTGGATGATAGAGAGTAGGGGAGAGGATTCTAATAGCTCGAGTGGACGTCCACCCGTCTATTGCATGTCAACTAGATAGTTACGAAAAAATTTCATATATCCTATTTGGAATTAATGAGCTGTGCATTCTTCTTTGATTACAATTTTTGATAGGAAGGGAACTGTTGTCATGGCATAGATAGATCTTTAATCACTTCATATGTCATATCTTCTCGATGCCTCAGATAATACCAAGAGCTTATTGGCAGGTGCATCCTCATAAAGCCTAGCCAGGAGCATGGCCCATTTCTTTCTTTCTTTTTCTCAGATGGGATGAGATAAATTTTACAGCAAAATTTGCTACAGTACACTTAAAAGTTGTGTAAATTGCTGGTAGGCATCATAAAAATGTGTCACGGCTGAAAGACACTTTAAAAACTGGTAATTTGCTAAAAAACACTTTCGACTTAATTGGAGAGAGAAATTCTTCAAAAAGACAAAAATGCCTCTAGGATTAAAAGCTTTTGAGCTTAGACGGAAGTGAAGATGTAATATGATGTATGCTATTGATGTATTTGGGGTGATAGTAAATTTAGAGTTACATAATTTTTAAATTTTTACTCTAATGTCATGTTTGAAGCATGTGGCCCTAAGGGCATTAAAGCGTATGAGGTCGATGGCCCGAGGTAGAGCACTCAATGGGTACATTCTCGTCTTTCTTAAAAATTTATCTTTTCAACTGAGTCCAAAGTGTCCTATAGCAAATTACCAGTTTTTTAGGATGTATTTCAGCTATAACACGTTTTTTATGTCTATTAGCAAATTACACAAAATTTGATTGTCTTGTGGCAATATTGACAATTTTACCAATAAATATATTTGGTAATTGGTACTCAAATACACAAGTAAATTTGTTACTCCCAGTATTGGGCGCTATACAGGAACACTGGGTGTGTTATTTTATAGTTGTTGACGAAAAAAATCGAACACATCGGCCTGGAAGATCTGCTTAGCTCTAGTGCAGGTCCAAAGGTTGGAAAGATGCGGGCGTGCCAGTCAGTTTGATCATGCAACTGACAAGATATGCAAATAATAGACAAAACAGCCGATCGGCTGACAAGCCGATGGAGTAGTTCCAGCCGATAGCCGATAATAGCCGATGTTGATACCAGCCGATAGCGATAGGGCTTAAGCAATCGGCTATATGTCCAATGTAGATAATGATATAAAGGCAATCGGCTGATGATGATGTAATAAAATAACAATATAATCCAGTATAAACCAATCGGTAAATAATGATATGATAAATAAGCATCGATCCGAAGGTTAAAAGCATACATCGGCTGGAGGTCCGATGTCATGAAATCCACAAGATTAGATTAAACAGTGAAACTTTTGTTGTCATCGGCTAAATCGAACTTATATGTATATGTAATCCTTATGAGCCGATGCAACGTCCAGATAACTCACCGGCTGAAACCCCGATGAAACCCTTATTGGCAATCAAGAAGCAGGCTAGAGATTGTGGTTCTAAGCACGACTTAGTAGATCAAACTTAACTGATGCAGCACTAAGTATGAAAAGAAATATAATATCTAGACAATCAAGCCGTTGACTGAGTTTTCAGTGTGGTAGATGTCTAAGCTAATCTAATCTAGCAACGCGATTTAGCCAATACCGGCAGAAACCCTAAAACGAGAAGCAGCCGATAGAGCTAAATTGATATGCTAAGACTAGATTAACAAAGACATATGATAAATAGGTAGGCAAATATATCATCCAAACCAGAGCAATCCAAGAGGTCGAATGTACTGATGCAGCCTTGAACGACGCCGACGTAAACGATACAATTGCCCGGGCCGGCGGAACATTGGACTTACCCCTTAGCCGGAGATCGAACACCGATGCAGCCCCGCGTCAGGTGCCAAGTCCCGCCGGATGATGAAATAAAGTAGAAAAGGTAAAAGGTGGTGATGCGCCGAATTATATTGATCGTGAAGATAGATTACATAGACCTCGGGCGTACATATTTATACCCATGGGTTGATACAAGTCCTTGTCGGACAAGAAAGAAACTTTCCTAAAGATAAAAGGAAACTAATAAACTATTCTTAATTAATAGATAACTTGCCATGCCGCATTCTCTTTGAACTCGGTCTCTGCTGGATAAGCTTCCTTTAGGTGATCGATTTCCTTAACCGAATATAGCAAGAATCCGACTTGACAACTCTCATTGGCTAATCTCAGGACTTCGAAGTCGATGCTGACTGCCGATGACTACTCCGGGTTTACCAAATTTCACTGTTAACAATAGTTATACTAAAATGCAAAATTGGCTAAAACGGTGGTTGAAAGATACTCCCTCCATCCTTAAATATTTGACGTTGTCGATTTTTTTAAACATGTTTCACCATTTGTCTTATTAAAAAAATTAAGTAATTATTAATTCTTTTCCTATCGTTGGATTCATTGTTAAATATACTTTTATGTATACATATAGTTTTATATATTTCACAAAAAGTTTTTGAATAAGACGAACGGTCAAACATGTTTAAAACAGTCAACGGCGTCAAATATTTAGGAACGGTGAGTGTCCATATTTCACTGCCGCAGATTATCTAATTGATAAAGAAAAAGTAAATTTTTGAGAAATAAATCGAATACATAACTTGAAAAAGCGATCTAAACAACATAACATAACAAAGTTTTTTATTAAAAAAAGATATTTTTAAAGACATATGGACCAAATAATCCACGGCGATAATTCGGCGATGAAAACGAGAAGAGTGGGCCTAGAGCCCTAGACAAAAAATCTCCCAACAATAAAAAGCATTTGCAGCAAAAGTTCCCATCAAAAAACATCCTTCCAAAAAGCGCAAGACGCGACGGTCCGTTCGTTCATGCCTGTGCACTTGCAGGCAGCAGTTGGCCCGATCTGGGCCGTCCGATTATACGCCCTCCAAAGCCTCCAAATATCCTCCTCCAATCGCAACGGGCGCGCAGCCGCGCACTAGAAAATTTTCCCCCATATCCCCCCAGTTTTTGCCTCCAACCCAAGCCTCCTCCTCCTCCTCTCTCTCCACTCTCCTCACTCCCTCTCCGGCTCTCCCTCACCTGCTCACCGCAGTGCACACCACACCATCCAGCGAACGGAGCCACTCCTCCAAGACTCACTCACTCTCTCTCTCTCTCTCTCTTCATGGCTCCCCGTCGAGGCATCCCACTCGAGGAGATTGGAGTTGGAGGTGGGTTTTCTAGTTTTAGTTTCTTTGCCTAGCCTCTCTCTATCTTTTTCTTTTCTTTTTTTTCTTTTTTGCAGTTGTGCACTGATTTGGGGGGTTCTTGATTTGCTCGCTTCGTGGCAAAGATGAAAGCTTTTTTTTGCTAACAATCGAGTTGAACCCTAGCCCTGTTCTTGGATGACGTGTGGGTTTTTGTTAGTGGGTTTCTTGAGTGATTCGGTTGTGTGTCCAATGATTTGAGCTCCGCTCCCTCCATTCCTTGGTTTTATTGCCGTTCTTGAGCATTTTGATCGAACAATCTCGGCAATGGGGGCAACAAGTTTGAAGCTTTTTTAGCAAAATTTCAACAAATGCAGACTAAGATCGAATCGAGTTTCAAAAGGACAAGTTTTATACATTTTCCACTACTAAAAAAGGTGTTTTTTCGGCTCTAAGAGACTGCTCAGATGCGTCCTGTTTTATCGGAAAATACTGCAAAGAAGCACTATTTAGCTATCCTTGTGTACCATTTCAATCGTTTCGTGCTCCGATCATCTTTTTGTGGCCGCTCTTACTTTCTCTCTGATTTTAGCTCTGCTCCCTCCATTCCTTGATTTTTTTTCCGTACTTGAGCATTTTGATGTAACAATCTCGACAACGGGGAGATAAAAATACATATTTTTTATGCAATTCAATAAATTTCGCAGAGTAAGGTGGAATAGAGTTTTTTTTTTTGGGAAAGGGAATCGAGTTTCAAAACGAAAGGGTTTTCCCAAATTAATTTTCCGCCACTAAAAAATAAGATCTTTTTTTGGCACTAAAAACTGCTCAGATGCATCTTAGTTTCTCCGAAAATGCTGTAAAGGAGCAGGATTTAGCTGTCCATGTGTAACAACACTTCAATCGTGTCTTGCATGCGTGCTCTGATCATCTTGTTGTGCCCGTTCTTACCTCAATTCTTGTCACCGTTCAGGCATGGCACAAGCAGAAAAGCAGCGCTGGTGCAAGCTCTGCAACAAGAGCTTCCCTTCATATTGTTCACTTGGAGGCCACATGAACCTCCACAGCACCAGGCGCAGGAAGAAGAAGCCGCCGCCGAGCCCGAGAAAGGCTCCACCGATCACTGGTGCCTCCGGCAGCAGGTACGATTTCCGGGAGCGGTGCCGCCAGAGGCCGGTGGCGCCGCAGAGCCAGCCGGATCACGCCTCCAGCGACGACGAGCCATGGACGCTGGCCCCCAAGGCCGAATGCCAGCTGTGCTTCAAGGCTTTCCACTCCTGCGACGCGCTGTCGATGCACATGAAGGCGCATGGCCACCATGGGAGGAAGATGGTGATGGTGGAGCAGAGGGCATCGAGAAAGACTTCTTCTGCTAATTTCTGCGGTGTTGATGATGGTGACCATGGTTTTGCTGCTGTATCTTATGCTCACTGTAAGAGAGCGAGGTCGAAGAGGATCCGCATGGACGTTTTCCCTGCCCCGGTAGTGGTGGTGACACATGGGACACAGGTGGAGGATGCTGCCTGCATTCTTGTGATGCTTTCAAAAGATGCTTACAAGGGCTCAGATTCTCTGGATGAAGATCCTCAGATGGATGGAAGCTTGGAATGCGGTCCGCAGAAGACTGAGATGGAGCCGAGTTCTTATCGTCTTGGTGTAACTGGTGATACTGAGCTGATAAAGCCAGAAAATTCAAGTTCTTATGAGGAGATCAAGTTTGGCAGTCTTTCAAATGTGTTGAAGGCAACAGCTATCCATGAGTGCAGGCTCTGCGGCAAGGTCTTGGCATCTGGATCTGCATTGGGAGGCCACATGAAGTCCCACAGTGTTCCTGCTCATAAAAAGGTTGCAACATTTCCCAAAACTTCTGTGACTCCATCAAGAAAACAGCTGCTTGAAGTGCAAAATGAGTTGCATGAACTCAACCTTCCAGCTCTCAGTAACAGGGACTGCAGCAGTACAAGGACAGAGTCTGAACTGAACCCATGGTGGGTTGCAAGCAGCATTCAGAGTGAGCGAATGATGGGTGTTGTCTGAAATGTGTACAGTTTCTGCACCAGTCAAGGGGCAGCAACAACATTTTGGTTACTAATAGATAGTTGAAGAATCAAGAATATGATACCACCAATGCTCTCTTTACATTGACTTTGCAAAACTAGTTTTTAGAATCTGATGCCCTGTTTCGGTATACTGACGTGCTTCTGTTTGCAGTGTGGGATGTGATTCAAGTTTTAGTTGTTCCCAATGGGAGAGCTGTCCTATTCAGGTTGTTGTAGTTAACTTTTATTTTTTGCCACATGCTTCTGTAGCAGTTGCTATTGTTCCCAAACTGGTTCAGCCCATTGCTTATTTTTAGCTATATTTTGGTTCACCTTGTATGGATTCCACTCTAGTTCAGCTCATGCCTGTATTTATCTTTGTTAAGTACGCAGTATATTCTGCAGTTTTTTTTTGACGCAATATATTCTGCAGTTTTACTTCTTCAATACTTAAATGTCATGGTATATGGAATATGTTTCAGTATGTTTGCATGAATTGTTTGCATTTCAAACCAATATTTTCTCAGGGGCTCAAGCCAAACAACATAATTTTTATGCATGTATTGAGGTTGATAAAACCTTACGCAACAAATGACTTCATTTTGTGTGTCATGCGGATGCCTTGATCTGACTCAGAGCATTTTATTGAGTTCAAAAGTTATATCGGTTTAAGAAAAGCATCGACAAGTATTTGTTTGATTTTTATATTTTTCCAGGTAACTGAGTACAAAGTTTTGTGATCTTATCTTCACTTCATGGCTTAGAAGTTTATTTGGGTTACAATTTTGACAATCTCACGATTTGAATTCCTTGGTTACTTCAAGTGGACAGCATTATTTGAGTGATTAATTTTATTTCATTTTACTCTCATTGTGATATTTTCTGACGTGCTTCAAAAGTTCAAGCTGGGGCATAAATCACAATAGCATTTGTGTTTGAAGGAGCTTGGCTCGCTTTGGCTTAACTTGTCGGTTGATTTCAGAAGTGAATGTACCTAGATGTAGTTGAGCCCTGGAACTTGACTTCATATTTGTCCCTCATACTGAGGATGTTGAGAAATTTTAGGCACAGTTATACTTTTTCTCACTCTTTAAAATGACCTGATTTTTAGGAGTTCTGTCTGTAGCTTCTAAGGCATAGGAACTGGATGTCTGGACTCTGGAGCAAAACCCTTTTTAACTTAATTTGTTCTTCATTACTTATCTTCAGAGAAGTATTAAAATGAAACATGACAAGTTATGGGATCTTACAAATTTTCCGGTTAAGCTACCAAAAGGTAATGCATGAAGTCTTTCTTGTTGGTACAGCCATCTTTTGATCTGCAAATACCCATCAATATCTTAACTTACCTGTTATGCTGATTGCTGTGTTTTAGATCACAGGGTATGTCGTATTTTCCTTGTGCTTACTAATGCTCTTCAGGAATACCGGATGCCATGAAACTATGAAAGAATGTGCTATTCTTATTATGGATGAAGTTGACCAAATAGCCTATATAAGCTGCATTCTCTGATTGAAAACCAAAACTAGAAGCAAAATATGAAGCTGCACTCACTGTGGTTCCAAAATTATTGTTTTATTATGCTTGCCCGCAAAATTCAATACTAGATGAATAATGGGCTATATACAGATTTGCAGGTGACTCCATAATAGGCAAGTCATACTAAAGTGCAATTACATTTCCAGGGACATGGTCAGTCAATACATTTCATTAGCACAATACAATGAGCACTTTAGTGTGCAATTCAATTTGAGTAGGCTATGTTCTGTTCTAGGAACAGATTACAACTAAAAAAGATCCTAAATATCAAATTTGTTCTTCAGGAAACACCTCCATCCAGCATGGTATGGAAAAGAAGATTCTACATATGGTTCAGTGTCAAATCCATAATCTTTCGGGCATAAGTTACCCAAGTCTTGAACCTTGAAGCTGTTCAAATTATAGGCTAGTTCTCTCTCCAAGCTATAATGTAGGAAAACCACCTCTTTGAAAGGATGGAATGCAAGGAAGCCAAAACCTCTATGACACCCTTGAACACTATTATCTTGAATATCGATAGACTTAGCACCATTGTCAAAGTCCCAATCATAATATGCTGCTTGTACTGTTTGACTTTGTGCATCGTCGTCTTCATTAGGATCCTCGCAATAATCAATATCTTGTAAGGTCATGGTCCATCATCACTTAATTTTGCCATCTTTGAAATGTGGCTAAATGGGCTTAAGGTTGTTGTCAAGCTTTAATACCCAACCTATCTGGCCACACGATTCTTCAAAAGTTGATTTGAACTCAAAAGTGCAAAATACACACCCTTCTCTGATCGTCCTAAATGAAATTCTTTGTATCTGCACACATCAAAACTTAACGGCGGTCCGATGACTTGGTACTTCACTTGACAATGATATTCTGGGAGAAAAAAATAACATATACCAAGAACAAAAATTAGTAATTAATTACTAGATCATAAGAGTAAACAACCAACATCAATTACCATAAATATAATGAATAAAAGAGGTGAAAATAATGCTTAAGGAGTAAAGGATTAGAGATGCACTTGATAGTACAGTGGTAAGGGGTGTTTGGTTTCTCACGTTCAATACTCAACACGCTCAAAATTTCTTCTTAAAAATAGTTTGAAAGGGCATCTGTCCCTCCAAATCTTTCTTCTTAAAAAAAAATGTTTGGAGGACGACTCTTCTCCAAAATCTTTCTTCTTAAAAAAAAAAATCTCCAAATCTCGTTTTTAGGTGTGAAGGATTTAGAAATTAATTACCTCATGACAAAATTAGTTTGGCAGTGAATACCTGTGCCTACTTCGCTTGCGTGATGCAGCCTCATGGCAGCGACGGTGCCCGCTGGCGGCCCGTCCCGCACGAAGCGCCTCCCCTCCCACTGCCTCGTCTCCGACGAGAAGACGGACAAGAAAAACGGCGACGGTGGCCATTCCGATCCATCGCTCGTGGGGTAAAACTCATCGTCCCTGCGCCTGCGCCTGCGCTCGCGCTCGCGAGGGGCAACGTGAGGGATCAGGAACACCTCGTAGCTAGCCGCGCGGTGACACGGCGGGGTCGAACACGAGGTGCTCGCGGACGGCGGCGAACCTGGCGGAGGCCGTGCTCGCGACGTGGCGCGGGTGGCGGCGTGGCAACTGGCAGTCTGGCAGCCGCTCCCACCGCCGTGTCGCCGGGTAGGTCACGCAGTTGTTGACCAGCACGAGGCCGTTGCAGTGGTCGGTGATGTTGATCGAGGGCATGTGGCAGTCGGGCAAGGTGGACCTGCGCCTCGTGTAGTCGACGTTGCCGGAGACGGCGCCGCCGCCGCCGCCGGGTGGCGTGGTGGTGGGGCAGGAGAAGAACTGCGTGGGGTAGAAGAGGTCGTGGAGGTTGAGGAAGATGCCGGCGAGGGAGAGCGGGAGGAGGTCCTCGCGGAGGCGGTCGTCGATGGCCGCGCGCCACGACGTGCAGATGCGGCGGCATGCGGCGAGGCTGCCCAGTGGGACCGTGGGAGTCGCCGGAGGACCTCCGCGATCATGTCGTCGGGTAATAGGGATATGGATTTTCATCCATAGAGAGGGATGTCCCCTCTTTACTTACATCTCATCTAAATAGTTATCAATTTTTTTAAATAAAATAACAACATATATTAATATAAAATATATATCACTCCATAAATATGCAGAGCAAATTTAACTTCTACAAGTTACAACGAAAAGAACAAAATAAACTGAAAATAGTTATCTATCGTACATTCGCAGCTATATTTGTTATTTTTGTTACAACTTGTAGAATTTAAATTTTAACATGTTTGTGGAGTGATATATTTCATATTAATATATCTTACCAAAATTTTCTAAATTTTTTTATGACTATTTAGTTGGCATGCAAGAAACAAGGGATATCCATTCGAGAGATGAAATCACTTTCGCAGGTAATAGATCCATCTTGCTTCTCTTCTCGATCGAGGTGCTCTCGTTCGGTCCTTGTTCGATCGGGGCCGGCTGCTAGCTGAGATCGTAAGAATTAAGATCTTGAGTTCGATCGTAAGCTAATTAAGCAAGGAGGAAGCTAGGTTGGCGTGGCGGGTTTATAAAACGTTGAGTTCCGGCCAGCTAGTTCACTTCAGATTCGGATTCGTATTGGATTGGTCAAAGAAAAAGATACGTACTTCACAAAACTGAATAGTGAGTAGGTTAATGAGCATATCCGTATGTGTTTGTTTCGAAAATGCTTTCGAAAATCCCCATTTCCTCTTCCTCTACCTCATCTCCTTTCTCTAATTTTATGATTCACGTTGTGTCGGAGAGGATCCAATCTCGTGGAAGCCCAAACTCGTCATCGCCGCCGTCGCGAGGAGGAGACAGGTGGAGACACGAGAAGGAGGCTTACGGGTGGGAACCGCAGGCAGAGGCGGCGCCGGAGAGGGCCTCAAGCTCCCTGGTAGCGGCTGCAGCGCCATGAAGATGCTCTTTGCGGAGTGGAGCAGAAGGCACCATCGCTGGAGAGGGCTCCGAGATCGCCGGCAGTGGCAGAGCCACACGAGGGGTAGGCTTTGTGGATGCTGTGCCGTGAGCAGGCTTCGTGCGAGGTTGAGCGGAATGCGTCGTGGCCGGAGAGAGCTCCAAGCTAGCCGGCAGTGGCAGCACCGCCGTGGGGAGGCTGGACATGAGACGGGGTGAGACGTCACTGGCGTATATTGGTGCAGACGGGTAGGCTTTGTTGCAGTACATTGTTTCTTTTTGTTGCATTTGGTTTGTCTTAGAGTGTTTCACTCTATTTTATTGGGACGATTCACATGATGGCTATGTCTTATTTGATGTTGCCATTAGCTTTTTTCAATGTTATATTTGGTTAAAACATTCTTCATCAAGCAATAAAATATTTTTCTTAGTAATGAAACATGTGAAATACTTTTTTTGTTGAAAAAAAATTTACTGAGTAGGAAAACATCTAATAGAACTTTTTCATATACGGTGAAACACTATCGATCGAACGTCCGATCCCTAGTCTCCTCCTATTTGTTTAGAGTAATAACTTACACAAAAAATTTGCTACCTCTGGTCATCAATAAATTTTAATATAAAGACATAATATATTAGTAACAAGAGGGAGTACTATGTTTATTTTAGGATGTAGTAAGTAGTAATTAATGCGAAAAAACCATTCACGGGTATAGAAAAATATTTTTTTGCACGTGTTTGTCGAACCACCGACAACTAAGCACCTGTAGAAATAGAGGTTTTGCGCGATGTTTTAGAAAACGGATAGAGTAAACTAGAGCAAAAACTTATTACAAATTACGGAAGACGCTAGAAGGTTGAATGTGCAATGGATATCACATATAAATCTAACGTAAAAAAAAACCGAAAATCTGTAACGGTGCTACTTCTATGCATGTCCCTGAGAAATCTGAACTGAAGAAAAGAAAAGAAAAAAAAAAGATCAGGCGACGGCGGGCATGTCCCTGAGCCAGTGGTCGAGCGGCTTGCCGATGGAGTAGACGACGAAGCCGATGCGGCGGAGCTTGTCCGGGTCGACGACGTTGCGGCCGTCGAAGAGGAAGGCCGGCTTGTGCATGGCGTCGTACATCCGCTGGTAGTCGAGCCGGCGGAACTCGTCCCACTCGGTGAGGATGCAGACGGCGTGCGCGCCGCGCGCCGCCTCGTAGGCGTCCCACGACACGGCGACGTGCTTCGCCGACGACGGGCTCATCGGCTGCAGGTGGCGCGGGTGGTCCCAGTCGAACTTGTTCATCACTAGGTCGCGCTGCACCTGCTCCTCCGTCACCTGCGGGTCGTAGATGCTGACCACCGCCTTGTCGCCGACGAGCCCCTTGCAGACGTCGATCGCCGGCGTCTCCCTCGTGTCGCCGGTGTCCTTCTTGAACGCGAAGCCCAGCACGGCCACCTTCTTGCCGGCCACCGTGTTGAACATGGAGGACACCACCCGGTTCACGAAGCGGCTCTTCTGGTAGTCGTTGATCCGGATCACCTGGTGCCAGTAGTTGGCCACCTCCGGCAAGCCGTAGCACTCGCAGATGTACACCAGGTTGAGGATGTCCTTCTGGAAGCAGGAGCCGCCGAAGCCGACGCTCGCGGAGAGGAACCTCGGCCCGATCCGCGAGTCTTTGCCGATGGAGTTGGCCACCTCCGTGACGTCGGCGCCGGTGGCCTCGCACAGCGCGGAGATGGCGTTGACGGAGGAGATGCGCTGCGCCAGGAAGGCGTTGGCGGCGAGCTTGGACAGCTCGGCGGACCAGAGGTTGGTGGTGATGATGCGGTCGTCGGGGACCCAGCGGGCGTAGATGGACTTGAGGGCGGCGACGGCGGCGCGGCCCTCGGGCGTCTCGCGGCCGCCGATGAGGACGCGGTCCGGGGAGAAGAGGTCCTGGATGGCGGTGCCCTCGGCGAGGAACTCCGGGTTGGAGAGGATCTGGTACCTGATGTTGCCGCCCTTGCTGTTGTGGGCGAGGATCTTCTCGATGGCCTCGGCGGTCTTGACGGGGACGGTGGACTTCTCGACGACGATCTTGTCGGAGCGGGAGACGTCGGCGATGATGCGGGCGGCGCTCTCCCAGTAGGTGAGGTCGGCGGCCTTCCCGGCGCCGAGGCCGCGGGTCTTGGTGGGGGTGTTGACGGAGACGAAGACGATGCCGGCGTCGGCGACGTGGCGCTCGACGTCGGTGCTGAAGAAGAGGTTGCGGCCGCGGCACTGCCTGACGACATCGTCCAGGCCGGGCTCGTAGATGGGGAGGCGCTCGCTGTTCCACCCCTCGATCCGCGGCGCCGAGATGTCCACCACCACCACCTCCACGTCGGGGCACTTGAGCGCGATCACCGCCATCGTCGGGCCGCCCACGTACCCCGCCCCGATGCAGCAGATCTTCACCATTCTTCTTCACCTACCTACCTAGCTTATTAGCTCCTCCTCTGATCCCGCACGGACAGATCGATGCAGAGCTAGGCCTAGGAGGAGGTGGATTAATTAATGGTGAGGATCGGAAGAAGTATAAATCGTACGTGGAAATGAAATGGGTTTCGGTGGGCTGAGAGTGAATGTAGCTAGTGAGCGATCAACCGCCACTTTTACCGCGCAAGCACTGTGACCACTCCACCACAGCTCCAGAGTCGGCCACTTGCTGTCTTTCGCGCGCGCGGCATTTGTAACCATCCTCGCGGAGGTTGATGACGGCCGGGTCCACCGCCAGCGGCAGGTTCGTCACCTCGAGGGGGAGCACGCGGCGGCTGGGTGGTGGCCCCGACGCCGGCCCGGTCTCATGGTGGAGCAACGGTGCAGTCTCGAGGGGAGCAGCGACGGCCCCCCTACGGGGGCGCGGGGGGGGGGGGGGAGTGCAAATTTCACCCCGCGGGTCCATCGGGGCGGGGCCCCGGAATGCCATGAAGTCTACTTCTACTCCTTCAACAGTTGAGGTCCAGTTGAAGCGCACCGCAAGGCAGCCCAAGCCCAAAACGAGATATATGGGTGGAGTGTGGGTCCAGTAGCTATCGGCTGGGCCTAGAGTCAGTGAGAGAGACCTAATAGTGTTGTGCTATAAAGGTCGGCAGTGGAGAGAGAGAGATGGCTTGTAATAGAAAAATATCTCAACTCAATTCAAATCTTCTCTCTTCCTGCTATTAAATTCTTCCCTGAACTCGTCTTCTTCCTTTGTTCCTACTTCCAATCTCTGTCTGAATCATGAATCTCGCTGACTAATCGTGACATTCTGGTATCAGAGCCTCAAATCCTGGAGAAGCCACGCTACACATCTCGGCTGCAGCTGCAGGTGGAGGCGATGGAAAGCAAACCATCGATTTCGGCAAGGTGCTTGTCCGGATCCAGGAGTCGCTCGTAGTGTTGAATCGGGCTCAGGTTGAGACACAAGCTGCCATCGTCAAGCTGGATCTAGGCATGAACAACTGGAGGCCACAAGTGGAGGAGGCCGTGCAGGAGCTGCGAGAGGAGGTCGGCGAACTTCGTCAGCAAGTTGATCTCCTCGGCAAGGCGGTGCAAACTTCTACGGCGGCATCTTCCCCTCGAGTTCCGTTGACGGATGAGGAAAGGAAGGCGTCGCTGCTTCCCACGCCCGCTTCGCCGACGAAGGAGACGACTGCAGCGGGAGGAGCAGAGAAGTGGGCCAATGGCCACCGCGCACCACAAAATTTCCGGGGAAGGGCATCGGGGGTGGTCACATCCCTGGTCCTGACTCCGATCAAGAGTACGTACGATGCCACCCCCTCTCATCTTAATTTTGCTGGGAATTGGGAGAGTGGTGAGGGAAATTTTGGGACGCAATTTTGGGAAAAGTCCTTCAATCATCGAATGCCTAAGTTGGATTTTCCGATTTTTGATGGTTCGGACCCACAGGATTGGCGTATGAAATGCGAGCATTATTTTGATGTTTGCGATACATCTCCAAATCCGTGGGTACGAATTGCCACCATTTATTTTCGAGGTAGAGCAGCTTCCTGGTTACATTCGTCTCGTGCTCATGTTTGTTATCTAGGGTGGGCAGAGTTTTGTGGTGCAGTAGCGTGTAAATTTGACATAAACTTGCATGATTGGGTTTTGGGGCAATTGGACACCATAAAGCAGTTAGGCACAGTTCAGGAGTATTATGAGAAATTTGATGAATTAGCCAATCAGCTCTTGGTTTATGACCTAGCGGCTAATGATAGATATTTCACTCATAAGTTCACCAATGGGTTAAGAAAAGAGATTCGGGGTGCAGTTATACTTCATCGGCCTCGCGACCTCGAGACTGCTTTTGTTCTTGCTTCATTACAAGAAGAGGAGATGGCTAAGAGTCCGACTGATTTCAAGCGTTATGATGGTGGTGCACCTACTCGAGCTCAGGTCAAAAGAGCTTATCCTTTGCCGTTGCCACCACCCCGACCATCTGGTAGTATTGAAGCTAAATCTGATGGAGTCAAGGCTGTACCATCCCCTGACAAAATGGCTACTCTTCGTGCTTACCGCAAGGCTCAAGGATTGTGTTATATCTGTGCAAAGAAATGGTCTCACAATCATAAATGTGCTAATTCTGTGCAACTGCATGCGGTTCAGGAGGTGTTTGCCCATTTGCAGGATCCCCAGGACAGTGTTTCAGCTGATATCTTAGATGTCGAGAGCCCTGCACGGTCAGAATTAATGGTTGTCTCTTTACTTGCATTACAAGGGGTGGAATCTGTGGGAACTATGCGAATTCTGGGCTATGTTCAAGGTTTTGAGGTGCTGATTTTGGTCGATTCGGGTAGTTCGGTCAGCTTCATTAGTAGCAAATTGGCTACTGGATTATCAGGACTGCATTCTCTTCCAACTCCACTGAAAGTGCAGGTGGCTAGTGGTGGTGTCTTACACTGTGATTCGATTGTGACTCAATGTGAATGGTTCACGCAGGGATACACTTTTCGCACTGACTTGCGTGTGCTTCCCTTGACCAGTTTTGATATGATCTTAGGCATTGATTGGTTAGCTACCCATAGTCCAATGACAGTTGATTGGTGTAACAGAGTTCTAACTATCAGTGCTCACAGGCAGTCCATCACTCTGTGTGGAATCAAACCAGCAGTAAATACTTGTGCTTTAGCCACTCCTAGACAGATGCAAGCATTTGGAGATCGTCATGCAGTGGCCCATCTAGTGCAACTGTGTGAATTGTCAACACCAGTTACAGTCGAGCAAATTCCTGAAGTGGTCCAGAAGGTATTGCAAGATTATGCAACTGTCTTCGATAAGCCTACTGGTTTGCCTCCTTCGCGACCATATGATCACACCATTCCCTTGATTCATGGTGCTCAACCAGTGAATGTGCGACCATATAGGTACACACCTGCTCAGAAGGATGAGATTGAATCTCAAGTTCAGGATATTCTCACTAAGGGAATAATTCGGCCTAGTGCCAGTCCATTCTCTTCTCCAGTGCTTTTAGTCAAGAAGAAGGATGGGTCGTAGCGTTTTTGTGTTGACTATCGTCACTTGAATGCTATTACTATTAAGAATAAGTATCCACTACCAATCATCGATGAACTATTGGATGAACTAGCAGGTGCTCAATGGTTTACCAAATTGGACCTTCGTGCCGGCTATCACCAGATTCGTATGCATCCTGATGATGAACATAAAACAGCATTCAAGACTCATAGTGGCCATTTTGAGTTCAGAGTCATTCCTTTTGGCCTCACCAGTGCCCCGGCTACTTTTTAGGGAGTTATGAACAGTATTCTATCTTCCTTGCTGAGACGTTGTGTGTTGGTTTTCGTCGATGACATTCTCATTTATAGCAGAACTCTTCAGGAACATGTTCAGCATTTGCAACAGGTCTTTCAGATATTGGATCGTCATCAACTTAAAGTCAAGAAGAGCAAGTGTTCTTTCGCTCAGCAACGACTCGCATATCTGGGACACATCATTAGCCCTAATGGTGTTTCTACTGATTAGGATAAGATTCATGCCGTTCGCAATTGGCCTTCTCCAACTTCTGTCAAGGATTTATGTAGTTTCTTGGGCTTAGCGGGCTACTACCGCAAATTTGTTCGACATTTTGGCATCCTCAGCAAACCACTCACTAATCTGTTGCGAAAAGGGCAAGTTTTCGTTTGGACTTCCGATAAAGAAGCTATGTTTCAGGCTTTGAAACATGCTCTTGTCTCTACACCAGTTTTGGCAATGTTAGATTTTACATAAGTTTTTGTGGTGGAAACAGATGCTTCTGACAAAGGTATTGGCGCAATACTTATGCAGAATGGACATCCCATTGCGTTTCTCAGTCGTGCATTGGGTCCGCGCCATCAGGGTCTTTCGACATATGAGAAAGAAAGTCTTGCTATTATGTTGGCAGTGGAAAAATGGCGACCTTACTTACAGCATGATGAGTTTTTGATTAAAACTGATCATCGCAGTTTGGCTTTTCTCCGTGATCAACGTTTATCCACACCTTGGCAACATAAGGCCCTGACTAAGTTGTTGGGTTTGAGTTACAAGATCATATACAAAAAAAGGGACAAATAACAGAGTGGTTGATGCTCTGTCTCGCTATCCTGAGAATGCGATTGTTGAACTATCAGCCTTGTCTACTTGTGTTCTAGATTGGATTCAGGAGGTGGTGGCAGGATATCAGCACGATCCAGATGCTGCTAGTAAAGTTCAGACGCTGTGTATTGCTGGTGCTTCTGTGCCTCGTTATACATTGAAAAATGGAGTGTTGTGTTATGATTAGCGAATGTGGATTGGGAACAATGTCAGCCTTCAACAGAAGATTTTGGCCAACCTTCATACTGCTGCTATTGGGGGCCATTCAGGCACTGCTATCACTTGTCAACGGATTAAGCAAATGTTTGCTTGGCCAGGCTTACGTCATTCTGTGGTTGAATTTGTGCAAGCCTGTGAAATTTGTCAGAAGGCCAAATCGGAACACGTTAAGTACCCTGGTATGTTACAACCATTGCCAGTTCCTAATCACGCTTGGCAAATAGTTTCATTGGATTTCATCAAAGGCTTGTCCCGCTATGTTTCTTTCAATTGCATTCTTGTGGTGGTGGATAAATTCTCCAAATATGCCCATTTTGTCCCTTTATCTCATCCCTTCACAGCTTTGGAAGTGGCAGAATAGTATATGCAACACATTCATCGTCTGCACGGCATGCCTCAGTCCTTGATTTCTGATCGGGATCGCATTTTTACTAGTACCTTGTGGACTTCTTTGTTCCAATTGGCCGGAACACAATTGCGTATGATCTCTTCTTATCATCCTCAGACCAACGGCCAAATGGAACGCGTGAATCAGTGCTTGGAAACTTTTCTTCGCTGTTTTGTCCACGCTTGCCCCCGTCAATGGAGTCGTTGGTTGGCATTAGCAGAATATTGGTACAATACATTGTTTCATTCTTCTTTGGGCACTTCACCATTCGAGGTTCTATATGGACACAAGCTACGGTATTTTGGACTATCTATTGACGCTGCTTGCACA